GGGCAAGGAGGAGCTATTTTTAATATCCTGAAGCCTTTGAAGGCTGGAGTGGGTTTCTGCTAAAAGTTCCCTGTTTCCTATCTTCTACTATAAGCAGTAATGAAGGGAGGAGGGAAGAAGATTCTTACATTCCATACTAATTTAGAGGTAGGTGCTCAAAAAGTACTCAGTTGGCTGACTGGTTTGTCATCAGTATCTGTCCAGAGAGCCCCAGCCATTTCCCAAATACAAGTGATACCTCGGTTCTCGAACGCCTTGACTTTCGACCAAATCGGTATTCGACCAGGAGATTCGAGAAACTTTTGTCTTGGAATCCGAACAAATATTTGGAACTCGAACTTCCGAGGTGAGCCGAGTTGAGCCGAATGGCGTTCATTCGGCCCAGCGCGCCTTGCTTGCGTCATCAGTGTGAGTGCAGAGAGAGAGTCACGCTTTGTGGAGAGAGTCACGCTTTACACTGAATTTAACCCTTAGACATGGGTCCAAAGAAAGCCAGAAGTGGTAATGCAGACAAAGGTAAGCGGAAAGCTGTGAGAACAACTATTGAGCTGAAGAAAGAAATCATTGCCAAATATGAACAGGGCACACGTGTTTCGGATCTGTCTGCTGAGTATGGCGTGCCAAAATCAACCATCTCTACTTTCCTTAAGAATAAAGCTGTTTTTCTACATATTGTATACAAATTAGGCCAGTAAATAGGCATTTTCTGGGGCTTGGAACGAATTAATCCAGTTTCCATTATTTCCTATTGGGTTTCATTGCTTCGGTTCTCGAACAATTTGGTTCTCGACCGTCCTCCTGGAACGAATTATGTTCGAGAACCGAGGTATCACTGTATTTTAGATTTGTACCACACCTCTTTGTGGAAGGGCTTATGGCAGTTTACAGATTGAAACAATGTTTTTAAGTAAGACTTTTAAGGATGAAACATCACTTGGTGGTCAGAAAGATGGAAAAAGTAATGGCTACTTCCAAGCATCACTGTGCTCAACATGTAAGCTATAAATTTGGCTGAAAAATTCCTGGTAGAAAAGCCAAAAAGGAAAAACCATTGGGTTACCCAATGTTCATTTTCTGAAACCAAAAAAATACAGAATCTCCCGTAAGGAAAACATTTTCCTCAAGCTGAAGTTTGATAGAAAGTGATTGTGTTTGGTCCTAGGAAGTTGAGTGACAGGGTAAAGAATACACAATTCAAGTCAGCTGTGCTTTCTCCGTGTGCAGTGCTCCCAGTGCTGTGCAAGAGAAGGTCACGTCCGCAAGTCACCTGAGAGCCAGCAGACCTGACTGTGACGATGTACTACAAAGGACTGGCCCTTGGTGCAGGGAGCATGTGGGAGGGCGAGATGACTAGATTTCAAAATGTATGTTATCCAGCCCTGGCCAGTTTGGCTCAGCGGTTAGAGCGTCGGCCTGCAGTACAGAGAGACCCGGGTTCGGTTCCCGCTAAGGGCACGTACCTCGGTTGCAGTTTGTCCCCGGCCCTGGTTGGTCGTGCGGGTGGCAACCACTCGATGTGTCCCTTCACATCGATGTTTCTCTCTCTCTCTCTTCCTCTCTCTCCCTCCCTCTCTGTCTGAACAAAAAAAAATGCAAAAATCTCCTCGGGTGAGGATAAAAAACAAACAAACAAACAAACAAAAACAAAACAAAATGTATGTTATCCAAAGAGATAACAAACACCATTTGGGTGATTATGTCAGATGCACTTGTTCATTTCATCTTAATAACCATCCCGTGGAGGAGGAATTACTGTTCACATTTTACAAATAAGGAAATGGAGCGCAATTTGCCCAGGGTCACAGAGCCAGCAAGTGGTGGAGTCAGGATTCGATCTCAGGACTGCGTGACTCTTGACCATTATACCACCCTGTTTACTCAATGCAACAGTTCTTTAAGTTTTCATAAAGAAAGAGAACCTAATGTGATATTCTGGCTGTGAGGGGCTAGGAGAACAGAGTGAAGGGACTTTATGTTTTGATGACATAACCTGGAAAAGAAGTTGGAGCACCTAGGTGGGTGGACGGTAACTTGTCAATTGCCCTGTCACGTCTGTTTCCAGATGTCTTACTTGCTGATTCTAGGCCATAGTCAAGTCAAGGGAGTCTCTGTAATTTGTCCACTTTGTGAACAGATAGTTATACAGGGTGGGGCAAGTGTAGGTTTACAGTTGTGAGTAAATGGAACATAGAGTTTATTTTTGTATTATTTTTTATTCTTGTATTATTTTCCATACAAACAACTGTAAACCTATGTTTGCCACACCCTGTGTATCATCTCTCTCCACTTCCTTCCTTTCCAAGGCTCTCCACTCATTGCCACATGGCCCTCCCCCAAGTTCTAGCCATTTAAATACTGCTCAGAATGTGCCCTGCTCCCCTCAGCTCCAGAAGATTGCACATGCTACATCCATCAAGACAGCTCAGCTCCCATCTCCACCTGGAGGCCTCCTCCAAAACTTCTCCTTCTCCCTGTCCCTGCCCCCCATGTGCCTAAGACACCCCTCTCTTCTCCCATAGAACCCTGTACACACCAGAGTTTTTCATGGCAGGTTTATTTTCATGGTGGGTTTACTCATAGGTCTGGGAGTCCTTATCCATCTTAGTCTCCCCAGAGCCTTGCATGGTACATAGCATGTAGTAAGTGCCCGATAATGTTTGTTGAACAGACATAATGAACAACTACTGTTTGTCAGGCGCTTCTGAGTCCTGGATATATAGAGATGAATAAAACACGAACTCTTCCCTTGAGGAGCTCAGAGTCTGATGCATAATGATTAGGGCCCAATATTATAAGATCTAGAATAGGGGATTTATGTAGCACAGAGAGGGTGAGAATAACTTAGTCTGGGGAGTGAGGGAAGTCTTTCAGAAGGGTAATGTATGGAATGAACCTTAAAATAATGAACAATTTCTGCCAAATTGAAAAGTGTATCAGGCAGAAGAGGAAATGTACAAAGGCATGAAAGAGATTCAATGCTTGGAGAAGTGTTGATATCCTGTGCCATGGTTTGGAATGAAAACTATGTTTTAGACACCAGATATGAAGGAGTTAAGGTTGTCGCTCTGTTGTGGATGTTTTAAAAGTTTATTATTCTGTTTTGTTCTTAGTCTGATGGATTTTATCATGAGACGGTGCAAATGTTGTAGTCACCTTTGATGAAGTGAATAACTTATTTATAGTTTCTGGTTTGCCTCCTTCCAAAAATGGTTTGATTTGACTTGTAATAACAGGCATATCCACAACAAGAGTGTTCATATTAAAACAAGAAACAAAAACGATAGATCAGAAGGGGATAATTCGGTCTCCTACGTTCTTTTCCTTCATGAGCTCACGTGGTGTGCAGGACAGTCCTCTGGACGGGCACAGGTTCTGTTGCCTTAGAGACCAGACACAGGAGGCTCCGGTAAATGCTGACGGATTCAGTCAATATGTGGATGTTCTTCTCGTTTTCCAACTGATGCCACAGATATTTCCTGGTGCTCTGGGTTCTTCAGTGGCCATCCCTTCGTGCTCGTGGTGGGAATATCGTCTTCGCTTGGCTACCCTTCGGGGTCACTGCTTGTTTGGGCTTCGGCACCCAAACTACTTTCAGATTCTCTTGCCCTTTTAGAGCTTTTCTCCTTTTTATTTTTAATGACCCCCATGTATAAAATTTAGACAAAAGAAAAGAGGGGGGAAAGTCCCCCATGATACTATATCAAAAGACATTTATGAATTATTTTTTATGTAAAAAAATGTGACGTTATTTCAGACTTCTAGAAAAGTTTTCAAGAATAGCCCAGCCACCTTTCTGGGCTGTCATAATGGTGCGCGTTCATGTCCTGGCTGATGCTCTGAAGGGTATCAACAATGCTGACAAGAGAGGCAAACACCAGGTTCTTATTAGGCTGTGCTCCAAAGTCACCGGCCGGTTTCTAACTGTGATGATGGTTACATTGGCGAATTTGAAATTATTAATGATCACAGAGCTGGGAAAATGGTTGTGAACCTCACAGGCAGACTGAACAAGTGTGGAGTAACCAGCCCCAGATTTGATGTGCAACTCAAAGATCTAGAAAAATGGCAGAACAACCTGCTTCCATCCCTTCAGCTTGGTTTCATTGTACTGACAACCTCAGCGGCATCATGGACCATAAAGAAGCAAGACGAAAACACACAGGAGGGAAAATCCTGGGATTCTTTTTTAGGGATGTAATACACATGTGCAAATAAAATGCCTCAATAGACAAAAAAACAAAAACAAATAGGACAAAGAATTCCTGAATATCCTTCACCTGATTCCCCACCCCGAGCTCACTTAAGAAAAAGTTGCAGGCCTCATACACCTTATGTAAACCTAAATACTTCAGTGTGCACTTCTCAAAAACAAGAAGTTCTCTTACATAATCATACTATTATTTTTCATGTGTGCCCTTATAGGCTTTTCTATGCATATATTTATGTACTGATATTTAAATTAAATAATACATTGGTTTGTTTATTTACATTTATTTATAATGACTTGCTTTTTAGGAGGGGTTAGCAGTAAAGATTATATATCATCTCATGACAATAAATATTCCACAGCATGATTCTTCATCAGACTCTGGCTGTAGACATGGGTCTCTGGGAGGCATACAGGTTAACAGGCCACTCTTTCCCAGAAAATGGACCATTTTTGTGCTCTTGCATGTCTAGTCGCACGTCAGTGGAAACCACTGAATAAATGAGCAAAGAGTCAGGGTAGTAGAAACCCTTGAATGCAAATTTAATCTTTATTCTGTAGTCAGTAGGGCTCCAGTGAAAGGTTTATAACGGGAGAGTAAGCCAACAAGAGCTATGTGTTCTGGAGATAAAGCTGAGGTGTCTGCAGGTGGGGGTGAAGGAGGAAGAAATCAGAGCATGAGTGCACAAGTCCCTTGGGTAAAATGATCCCTAGCTTCAAGGGCAGATCTCTGCCCAGGTAGAAGAGAGCCTTCTCCGGCATAATGCATCCTTTTCTTTCACGTGTCTTTCAGAACTGGTTAAAGTCCTATGGCTACCTGCTTCCCTATGACTCGTGGGCATCCGCGTTGCACTCAGGGAAGGCCTTACAGTCAGCAGTCTCCACTATGCAGCAGTTTTACGGGATCCCAGTCACCGGTGTGTTGGATCAGACAACAATCGAGTAAGATTTGCGTAGGACATTGTGCCTTTGAAATTTCCAGACTTACATTTGGGTTCACATTTGTCATGGCCTCATGTATATGCAATGCCCATCCTACCTTCCTAATTAAAAAAAAAAATTTTTCCATTGATTTTTTTTATTTTTTAGACAGAGTGGAAGAGAGGGAGGTAGAGGGAGGGAGGGAGGGAGGAAGGGAGGGAGGGAGGGAGGGGGAGAGAGAGAGAGAGAGAGAGAGAGAGAGAGAAACATCAATGTTGAGAGAGACACATTGATTGGTTGTTTCTCACACAACCCTGGTCAGGGCCGGGGAAACCTGCAACCCAGGCATGTGCCCTTGACTGGAATTGAACCTGTGACACTTTAATCCAAGGGTCGATGCTCTAATTGCTGAGCCAAACTGGGCAGGGCCCACCTTTTAATCTGCAATGTCATCTCAGGAGACAATACCCCATGGTGAGCTGGGGGTATGCTCTGCCACAAACTTGCTGGACCTTGGACAAGTCACTTAACCCTTTGGGGCCTCAGTTTCGTTATCAGCACAGTGAAGGGATTGGCTATAGATGATCCTCAATTTCCTCTGACTCTAAAACTGGAGGTTCTATGGGTCATCCCTCTGACATTCCCTAAGATATACACTTGATGCAGAGAATCCTTGAAAGACAAGTTGACAACTCTTGGTCCACTTTCTCCATGTGTCAAATGTTGGCTGAGTGCCTACATGGACCAGGCACTGTGCTTGAGCGTATGAGCCCTGCCCTCCAGAGGCTCACCATTTAGTGAAAAATACAGTCATCTGGCTGCATCAGTCTAGGACTCAGAAGGAAACTCTGAGTTTCAGGGAGACACTTAGGAGGCAATAGCAAACTCAGGGAGAGTCTAGAACAGTGATTCTCAACCTGTGGGTCGCGACCCCTTTAGGGGTCGAATGACCCTTTCACAGGGGTCACCTAAGACATAACAGTAGCAAAATTACAGTTATGAAGTAGCAACAAAAATAATTTTATGGTTGGGGGCACCACAACATGAGGAACTGTATTAAAGGGTCGTGGCATTAGGAAGGTTGAGAACCACTGGCCTAGAGGAAGAGAAGAGTGCTGGGGATGAACCCCTGAAAGCAAGAAGGAGCCGACGGAGGTCTGAGAGGCCTGGGCTTGTGATGTCATAGCACAAAGCTGGAAACGGCTGTGGGCTCAGCTGCGGCAGGGTGCTCAGATAGGAGACTGACAAGGGTCTGCGGAGTTTGGAAACAAAGAGGCCATTGTACGCTCCACGGAATGGTGGAGACAAAACAAGATTGCAGTCAGGAAGGACGGGAGGGGAGGAGTGAAGGTGACAAGTGTAGGAGAACTTCCAAGAAGCTTAACAGTGAAAGGGAGGAATAGAGGGTAGCTAGAGAGGAATGGATTTTGTTTGTTTTAAGTTTGGAGAGAGTTGAGCAGGCTTAAGTTTGTTTAAGAAATAGCCACGAGCCCTGGCCGGGTTGGCTCAGCGGTTAGAGCATTGGCCTGCTGTCCAGAGAGACCTGGGTTCGGTTCCTGCTAAGGGCATGTACCTCGGTTGCAGTTTGTCCCCGGCTCTGATTGGTCGTGCGGGTGGCAGCCACTCAATGTGTCCCTTTCATGTCGATGTTTCTCTCTCTCTCTCTTCCTCTCTCTCCCTCCCACTCTATCTGAACAAAAAATGAAAAAATGTCCTCGGGTGAGGATAAAAAAAAGAAATAGCCACTTAAGTTATTAAAGCTGTTAAGAAAAGCTATTAGCACTGTGAAGTCATGAGAAAGACCTGGAGTGAGTCTCCTAAGGAGGTGGTGAGGGGTGGGATCCTGAGCTCAGGTTGAGGGGAGAGCAGGGCTGGGGGAGGGTGCGGGGAAGTTGGTGGGTGAAAGAACAGGAAATCCACCCAATCCTGGAGCCAGGATCAATCCACCCCTTGGGTGAGTCACTTCGCGAGAGATTCATCTCTCTGGGCTTCAGCTTGTTCATTTACAAAGGGGAGTGTTGAATTATGGCTGTCAAATTCTAGATTCTATTATTCTGAGCATCTAAGCTTTCAAAATTTGGTGTGTGGGGGGTTTTATGATCCTAAAATTCTGCCCAGTGTTTCCTATTCCTAGGACTCTGATTGTAAGACTGAAATTCTGAGATAATACATTAGACTGCTCCTGTGATGCTGGGAGTACAGTGGACTCCTCGGGCCTGTGGCCTCGTGAGTGAGCTGGTTGGACAGGGCCTGACCGCCTTCAAAGCGGTTATTTTGAGGGCTACGTGCAGAGCTCGTGGCAGTGCGTCCTGGGGCAGAAGTGCTGGTGACTCTGCTGAGGCACCACCTGGCCTTGGGGTTTACTCTGTTCCAGAAAGCCCCAGGCCTGTTGGACAGGGTTCAGCGTGTGGCAGGTGGACACAAAGGAGGAGGCAGAGGGAAGGATCTGAGGGAGGAGGATGGCATTTCCCACTCACGGTTCTGCCCCCACCTCTTTGCAGGAAGGCTGAGAATGCTGATTTGGAGGCATGGAAAGGCAGGAGGTGGTTGCACTTAAAATGATATCTGAGGGGGGAGGAGGTTGGGGTAAAATTTAGGGAACTTAGTTTCAGGTCCAGCTTTGTGACCTTGAGCAGTCCATGGCCTTCTCTGGGCCTGTTTCCCCACTGGGGAAAGTTCCAGGCCTTGCTCAGCCTGGCAGAGATGGCTCCTGGTTTTTTCCCAGGGACTGTGAAAGGAGACTAAATTAGCAATTCAAAGTACTATTTTTGAGTGCCTACCTTGGGAAATGTCACACATTATTCATTATTTACTTTTACTCCTTCATTCGTTCGTTCGTTCATTCATTCATTCATTCAACGAACAGTTCCTCTAGCCCAACCTTGTGCTAAGCATGAAAATTAATAGTTCATTTATTCATTCAACCAAGTTCCAGCCCCCCCCTCACTGTTTGTTATATGTTGCAAGTTACTTAGTTTATGTGTCTCTTTTCCCTCAACTATACTGTAGAGAATATATCATTTCTGGTTACCTCACAAAGTTGTTTTGAGAATCAGAAAAAAAGTATCAACGCATGGTGTTGTTATTATTGTGTTTGCCGATATTGATTTCCGAGTATAGAACTGTAGGCGATGTGGAGCATACCGAGATGAGTGAGACCTAGGGAAGTCCCTCGAGGGGCTTTTAATATTTGGTTAAAATATTCTCTGTCTCTTTTCTATATTGCCAGTGGCAACTGCTTTCAACAACTGCAAATGAGGTCAGACTGTTTTCCCTTCCAGCAATCCTAGTATAGTTTAGTGAGTTAGTCATTAGGCCAGCAGGGACTTAAAATTCAAGGATGGCCTGGGCCCCAATCATCCATGAGCTTCTAAATCTCCTACCTTGGCCCCTTTTTTATATCCTCAGTGATGTCCCAGGCTTACTGTTTCCTGATATAACTTTACCTGATAACAAACAGTTATCAGGATTTACATTAGTTCCAGGCACTGGGTTAACTTCTGGGGACACAATGATGAATATGATACAATTCCTGTCCTCAAAGAATTTCCCATTTATTAGAGGCAACAGACTAGTAAATTTAAAAACACAGTACAGTGTAATAAGTTACGTTGTATATCTTATGGTTGTTTAGCCACTTTCTGTACACTTAGAGCGAAAGGGGATTTGCTGTCTTCCAAGCAATTCTACTGTGGGTAGTTCTCATTCATTCCTTCAACAAATCTCCGCTGAAAACCTCCTGTGTCAGGCACTGTGCCAGCACTGGGAATACAGGCAAGGTCCTGTCCTCATGGGGCTTAGAATCAGGTGGGAGGACAAAGAATAAACAAGAATGCAAATATATAATTTCCATGAATGACAAATGCTATGAAGAAAAGTTAAGCAGGATAAACAGAGAGTGGTGGGATGGGAGGGGGAGGCTGCGCTGGAGGGGGGGTCGGGAAGTCTTCTCTGAAGGGCAGACACCTTAATGAAGTAAGGGAACAGACCATGAGAAGAGCATTGCAAGGAGAGGGAACAGCAATTGCAAAGACCCTGCAGTGGGAATAATCTTAGCATGTTCAAGGCACAGCAAGGTCACCGTGGCTGGAGCAGAGCACATGAGAGGAAGGAGGGGAAGGTAGCCTCAGACGGGTGGGCAGGGGCTGGACCACATGGGGCCCTGTGGGCCAAGGTGAAGAGTTTCTACTTTATTTTAGGTGTTTGGGGGAATTATTGGAGGATTTTAAACCAGGAAGTGATGTGACCTAATAACTTTTACAGAGCATTTTTACATATATGCCCTCCTTTGAGGCGCACTACAACCTAGGAACAGCAAGACTGAGACTCCACTGATTCAGTCTCTTGCCTGGGCTCCTATGATCCATGGTAGAGCTGGAAATATCAAGCCCATGTCTTCTGACCTCCAGTCTCTTATGCAGCAGTGTTTCCTCATATTCAGTTGTGAGTGAGTGAATGAATGAATGAGTCAATCGTGTTCCTCTTGGGGGAACCCATCAGAGCCAGGGTTCCGACGCACACTGCCATTCAGACCAGGACCTGGAGACTGTGCAGCGTCTTCCTAGAGTGTTCAGTGACCACAGTGTATGTGTGTCCATGTCTTCTCTCTGCCCAGATGGATGAAGAAACCCCGATGTGGTGTTCCTGATCACCCCCACTTGAGCCGCAGACGGAGAAACAAGCGCTATGCTCTGACTGGTCAGAAGTGGAGGCAGAAACACATCACCTACAGGTGCTTTGACGTCCTCTCTTCCTCCCTGGTTTGGGCTCCATCCTTACTGTTTTTTCCTGGCCTGAGTTTCAGAGGCTCACACTGTAGGTGGGTCTGTGATCAGGGTGCAGGCCAGGCACTGAGAGCCTATCACTTTGTCCTCCTTGTGGTTTCCAGAGGATGCTGTCCCCAACCTCAGGTTTATTTGGTCCTTTAGGGGCTTCTGAGTTGTGCTCTGTTTAGAATCTGGTCATTTTTAGTTATAGAAAGTGGGGTATGGATTGTGCAGTCACTTTTGGCTGTGATAAAGAACCATAGCTGCCCTGGCCGGTTTGGCTCAGCGGTTGGAGCGTCGGCCTGCGGTACAGAAAGAGCCATAGCTAAACTCGTTCTCCTATCACCGCTTGACAAACCCCCCTCTCTCTGATCTGTATCCTTTTCCCACTTAGCCTGGTAAGACTTCGTGGGAGGTTTCCAGCACAGATTTCAGTTGTTTCTGAAGGAGTACAGAGACCTGAGAGCTGAATCACAACAATGTCATTCATTGGCTGTCCAGGGAAACCAAAGGCAGAGCAGCATCAGTTTCCGAGCCAGCCCGGCGGCCAAGGGCAGGGATGCCGGGGCCCATCACAGCACACTCAGACAGCAGAATTCGGAGTGGGGCTGGGGCACGAGCCAGGCATAGGGCAGGCTCAGGTGGGCTTTGGCTGGCACCTCTCAAGACTCTGATTCCATCTCAGGTAGATCTCCTGGTTTCTGAGGTAGGATCTAAGAGAGGAACTAAGGACTCTCCTGCTGACAAGTTGTAGAGATCAGAACAGGATTTTTTTCAGAAATCTGACAAGAGAAGGAAACTAAAGAAGAATCTGGGTTAGAAACTGGATAGATTCTTAAGGTCTCCTGAAGAAGTAGAGTGGATCAAGAAAAAGAACCAGATTCTAATCTAACTCTGCCCTTAACTTCTATCACCCAACCTCTCTGGGCCTCAGTTTTCTAGCCTATAGATGGGTGAATAATCCTCTTGGCAGGTGTTCCTGGGGCAGAGCATCCAGAAGTAGGGATGCTCCATGGTGGAGAACCGTGCAATATGGATACAGTGACCTCAAATAGCTACATCTATAACTGATTAAATCGGATGCTGCTCTATACCAGCTTTTATGTAGACAAGCAGTAGTTGATGTCAAATGTTTTTTTTTTCAAGAGACATTTCACTTTACTCTTCATTGTTTAAATGTTTTTATAACTTTTACAAATGTACATATAGTATGTATTGAAAGAAGAACGTACATTTTAGAAAATGCTATCCACCAACTTATTTTTTTCCTACAAATTGGAGTGAAATCCTATATTCAACACAAACTTTGTCAGAGACTAAATACAAAACACTGATTAAAGCAAAGACACTTTATGCCCTGGCTGGTTTGGCTCAGCAGTTGGAGCTTCGGCCTGCGGACCAGAGAGTCCTGGGTTTGGTTCCTGCTGGGGGCATGTACCAAAAAAAAAAAAAAAAAAAAAAAAGCAAAGATGCTTTGATTGAGAGCCTTGCCTGCTCATCTCCTCCAACCCCTAGGGCACCACAGCAGAAGTCGGGACGTCAAAATCTGAAGAGTATTGGTCCATATAGTCTCTGATGTTTCTTTTAGCTCTGCTGGTCTCTGACTCTCTGTCTATTCTTCCCTAATCAAATTCCTTTCCTTCTCTCACCAGCATTCACAACTACACCCCAAAGGTGGGTGAGCTAGACACACGGAAAGCTATTCGCCAGGCTTTTGATGTGTGGCAGAAGGTGACCCCACTGACTTTTGAAGAGGTGCCATACCATGAGATCAAAAGTGACCGGAAGGAGGCAGACATCATGATCTTCTTTGCCTCTGGCTTCCATGGTGACAGTTCCCCATTTGATGGGGAAGGAGGATTCCTGGCCCATGCCTACTTCCCTGGCCCTGGAATTGGAGGAGACACTCACTTTGACTCAGATGAGCCATGGACGCTAGGAAATGCCAACCATGATGGTAAGGCAATGAGGGGACAAGGGGTCAGTCCTGGGTTTTCAGAAGCCCTAAGGAAGAACCTGGAGGATACCATTGAGGAGTTCCTGGTTTCTAGAGCTTCTTGTCCAAGAACTAAGAACCTAAGAAGGTGGAAACTGTGGTCCCTGAGGATATTCAACATGTGATCCACCAGGGCCAAGACCATGGAGATGGGTCAGATCCCTTAGTAAATGGTCTCACCCTGAGTCAGGAGGGAGAAGTTAGGTCATGAATAAGAAGATAAAGTAATGAATCAGAGGCTGGGGAAAAGGTTAAAAAAACATTAAAGCTGAAAGTGGGGTTTGAAAGTGATCTAGCCTGACTGATGACGGCTTCCAGGACCATCTTATGGGATGATGTGACTGACTCTCTCCCGTATGTCAGCCTCACAGGCACATGACCCTCGCTCCTTGCGTAACTTGCTCTTCACCACTATGATTTAATGAATATATGGATCCAGAATCAATACTGTGCAGAAACAGTAACAATATTCTTCAGGTTGCAAAAGAGTTCCTCATCCATATTTACTTATAAGGCACATGTTTAGTGAGTAGGCAAGTGTATATCATTTTTCAGATGAAGGGTTTGTGGTTCAAGTGGCATAGCTGGTAGGTAGCTGGCAGTGCCAGAGCTCACACCATAGCTCAAGCACCTGCCTGTGTCATGAGAGGCAAATAATCCACCCCCGTCTCCTCATCTATAAAATGAGGGACTGGATTAGGTGATCTCTGAGGTCCCTTCCAACTTCAATGAAACATGCACAACCCAGGGGACCCGAACCTTAAAAAAATAAAATAAAAAGACATGGTCTCTGCCCTCTGGAAGTCCAGGGTCAAGTCGGGGAGACAGATGTGTACATAGTCACCCTGTCACATGTAGACCGGACTGGTGGATATAGCAGAAATACCAAGAAAATGCAGTGTAAGTCTAGAGGAGAAAGGAACAGAGAATCCTGTTCTAGTCTGTTTTAGATTATAATAGACAACTAGTATGTTAACATTCTAAGGCCCATGCCAAGTACCTTCCACATAGTCTGTATATATTATTGTCCCCATTTTACAGATAGATAAACTATATAGAGAGGTCCCGTAGTTGTTGAATGATGAAATAAGGCTTTGAACCTGAGCATTATGACTGCACAGCCATCATGCTAAGCTTCTGCGGCTCTCAGACTACAGGGCATACCAGAATCACCTAAAAACCTTTTCAAAGAACACAGATTCCAGACTCCAGGACCCTAACCTTTTGCTATTCTGAGTCTCTGATTCCGGGGCATCTGCACTTAGTCTACTAAAATCCCCAGGTGCTTCTGATGCAGGGGTCCCAGCACCTCAAGAAACACTGTCTCCATCCCCACAATTTCCCTAACTTATCTGATCATAAGACCCAACCAGCGTTCTTGTTATAAACATGGCTCCCCAGGCCCTTACCCTGGAGATTCTCATTCTGAATAACCCTAGTTTGGGAAGCACTGGGCATTCTTTTTCCTAGGCGAAGCTCAGGCTGAGAGCGAGCAGACTTTAGAGCTATTTCCGCAGAGGCTGTGCCTAGTGTCTGTGGATGGGGACGGCCTCCTTGAGAAAGCTCCGTATCTGCATGGATCAGGGATCCTCAGCTCTTGGCCTGTCCCTCAAAGGGAGGTCCAGGAAGTGGTTTGGTCAAAGCTCAGCCCAGGCAAAGTTATAAAACTGTTCAGTTTTTCTTTGTCCCCTGCCCTCTTCGAATCTGTGTCCTCTTTCCTGCCTAATTCCACTTCCTCTGTCCCACTGTCCCTTCCCTTTGTCCCGGATGTGTTTCCTGGCTTTCAAACTCCTGTTCTTTATCTCATTCTTATTCTTGGACCAGTGTCAAGGAATGGCAGTCTGTGCTAACTGATAAGGTGTGAGGAGAAGAGAACTAACATTTTTTAGCCCCAGTTATATGCCAGGCACTGTCAGCTGATGGGATTTTAAGTTATAGCCCTGACAGAGAGACATGAAATGCTAGAAGGTTGTTGTCCAGGGAAGCAGTGGGAAGATCCTCCTCCTCCGCCCTCCCCTTCCCAGCTCTGGGGTTTGCATTTCCAACATGCCCTCCTTGCCGTTGGAGACCTTGGACCCAGTCTCAAAAGCCTAAGCGCTGCTGGTGGTGAGGGTGGAAAGGGGTCGGAACAATCCTAGCACCCTCCTGTCTGTCCCACCCCATCCTGATGAATGACTGCCAGTTCCGATAGAAATTCCAAGATGGCCCTGGCCAGTTTGGCTCAGCGGTTAGAGCGTTGGCCTGCAGTCCACAGAGACCCGGGTTCGGTTCCCGCTAAGGGCATGTGCCTTGGCTGCAGTTTGTCCCCGGCCCTAGTTGGGTCACGTGGGAGGTGGCCACTCGATGTGTCTCTTTCACATCGATGTTTCTCTCTCTTCCTCTCTCTCCTTCCCGCTCTATCTGAATAAAAATAATGGAAGGATGTCCTCGGGTGAGGATAAAAAAAAAAAAAAAAAGAAATTCCAAGATGGCCAATGTCTTCTGTGGACAGTCGGGACTTCTCTGTGCGCTGGCAAAGCAAGCATGAGCTACCCAGCAGTAGAGCCCTGGCTGGCAAGCTGGAGTGCGCCAGTCGCCCTAGGACGGCTTTGGAAGGAAAGGAAAGGAACAAGATTTATTGAGCACCTGTATATTATCTTGTTTAATTTCCACATAAACTCAGCGAGGGCGGGAGTGGAGCCTCCTGGGAACTTTTGTTTATTGGCTTTCTTCTCTATTCTAAATTTCCATTATGGAAAATTTCAAACCCACAAAAGTAGAGAGAATGACAATATGAACCCCCCAGGCACCCATTATCCTGCAACAATTATCAACATTATGTCAGTCCTAGTTCATCTACCCTCCCCCCTCACACACTTTTATTTTTTGGCTTAGGTATTTTAAAGAAAATCCCAGGCATAATCATTTCACCTGTAAATACTGTGGTATATATCTCTGTTAAAGTTGAACAGATTATTTTTTACATAACCACAAAACTAATATCAAACCCAACAAAATTAACAATAATTTCTTAAATTCAAATACCCACCCTGACCGGTTTGGCTTAGCGGTTAGAGGGCAGCCCGTGGACCAATGAGTCGCGGGTTCGATTCTGGTCAAGGGTATGTACCTCGGTTGCAATTTGTCCCCGGCCCTGGTTGGGGTCGTACCGGTAGCAGCCACTCGATGTGTCCCTTTCACGTCGATGTTTCTCTCTCTTTCTCTCCCTCCCTCTCTATATGAACAAAAATGGGAAAATGTCCTCAGGTAAGGATTTAAAAACAAATCAAATACCCAGTTTGTGTTCATTTTCTCAGATGATCTCAAAAATGTCTTTCTAGTTGTTCACTTGCACCAGGATCCAAACGACATCCACACATCATACATGGCTGACATGTCTCTTAAAGCCCTTTTGATTTAAAGGGTCACCTTGCTTCCTTTTTCCGTGCCCTCCCCCCACCATGTTTATTGAAGAAACTGGGTCACTTGTCCTGAGTGTAGTCATTTGGCTTGACGAGGTTCAGGTTCACTTCTAACATGCCTCTCTTCCCCATACTTCCTGAACACTGGGAATTAGATCAACAGGCCTGCCCAGATTCAGGTGCACCTTTTTGGCAAGAATGCTTCCTAGGTGGTGCTGGTCCTCCCTAATCCATCACATCAGGAAGCACTGTGATGCAGGTTGTCCCACTTTTAATGATGTTAAGGTTGACCAGTTAGCTCAGGTGTGTCAGCCTGACCCAACTTTTATAAAATTTGCCTGGGGAACTTTAAAAAGAAAAAAAAAAGAAAAAGAGTGCCTAAACCCTAACCCAAAACTGAAGCAGAATCAGAATCAGAATCTCCTCCACCTGTGCATTTAAAAGCTCATGGGGAACCACTGGACGGTAAGGGTGTTCTGGGTCTCCAGCCCCTTGGAGTCCAGGTGACCGGCAGTCTGCCCCACCACACCTTTAATCTGGTCTTGGGGACTGCTTCCAGGTACTTTCTGTCCTCGACTCTTTCCAATGAGTCAAGCAGTGAAGTCAGCAGAATTCACTAAGCTCTGCTGGGGAGGGAGCCCAGCCCCAGGGAAGGTGACAGGACAGGAAGAGTCACCCAGACCAGCAAGTCACAGGATAGAGCTCTTCTGCAATTACTTCAGTGACTCTTCCCACCTTGGGGGATAGACTCAGCAGGGATCATAGTCTCCATTTTGCAGATGAGGAGTGTCAAGTTCCAAGTGGTTAAGAAATTCACACAGTTGGTAAGTGGCAGGTGTAAACCCAGGACTGTAAATTTTTTTTTAATCCTCACCCGAGGACTTTTTCCCATCCATTTTCAGACAGAGAGGGCGGGGGAGAGAGAGAGACACATCGATGTGAGAGAGACACGTCGACTGGTTGCCCCTTCCCCCACAACCCTGACCAGGGCCAGGAACTGAACCACAACCGAGGAACGTGCCCTTGACTGGAATCAAACCCTCAACCCTTTGTTCCACGGGCCAGTGCTCTAACCGCTGAGCCGAACCGGCCAGGGCAAGACTCTGAATTTTTAACAATGGCCCTAGGTGGTTCTGCTGCAGGTGGTCCAAGGACCACACCAGGAGAAATACTGAACTTTTGCCTTCGTCCTGTCCTGGCTGCTGTCATCTAGCCCTCCAAAACCAAAGCTTGCCCTCAAGGAAGAATGAGAGTGTGTGCTGGACACTATAATATAGGGTGGGAAGTGGTCAGTGCCATAGAGACAGTTCAGGTAAACAGCTGGGAGAGTGCAGAGGAGGACGCACTCACTGACAGCGGGACAAATCAAGGAGGGCTTCCTGGAAGGTAGGGCATTGAGCTGGACTTTGAAGGACTAAGGCTATTCCACGCAGACGGGATAGCACTGGCAAAAGAACAGAAGCAAAGGGAAATGTTATAAACTTTTGAGGGGGTTGAGGAGTCAATCAGATGGGACGCGCCAAATATAGAGGTCCTAAGAGAAGGAAATGAGGCAGAGACAAGGTATGTACTTGCTAAGAGACCCAAGGCTTTGAGCCCCCAGCCCACACGAACACTCCCTATCGGGGATGCTGGTCCTCACACACAGCTCAAGGTGACCTGGCTAATTAATAGTGACAGTTATGTGCCAGGAGCCTGTATGAGTGCTTAACACACCTTGCCTCATTCATCTTCACCTCAGTTCGTACGAAGGTAACATTATTCCCTTCACTTTACAGAGGAAGAGATTTAAACTGTCACCCTGCTAGGACAGCCGCGCTGGGGTTCCTGGCAGTCTGGCTCCCAGGGACTGTAATTCTGACCGGGGTCTTCTCTAGCCCTCTGCTTGTCCACTCACAAGCTCCAGGGAGCTCTCGGGCCCGTCCCTTCTCCTTCCACCTCCTCAGAGCAGCCCGCACTTCACAGGTCTCGGGTTTCTGTGCAGTGAGATGCCAGCTCCCCAGTTCTTCTCTGCCTTTTGGCCCCTGGAACAAACCCGCAGACCCTTTCTTTCAGGGACGTGCTCCTGTTCTCTACAGAAACCAGGGGACGGAGGCTCACAGAGTAACAGACAGGCTGCGGACAAAGGTTTAGTCTGGCCAGGTGCTTGGAGCCCTGCTCCCTGGTTTCCAGCTGAAATCCTTGTGGATGCCCCCGAGGAAGAGCCTGGTCAGGAGACAGTGGCCCCAACAGCACCGCAGGTGGAAGAACAGGCAGGAGCAGAGCCAAGACTGGACCCCAGGAAGCAGAGCTGCCTTCTGCTGGCTCCAGCAGCCGCCCTTGTTTGGGATGGAGCTCAGAGATGAGCTCACCCTTCCCTGCTGCCAGAGGGACCAGGACCTGAGGAAGGAACCGGGGGCGGCCAGCCCTCCTCGTGCCAGCTTGCCCTTCCCCAGCAGAAGGCAGCCCCAGGCTCTTGGCCAACCTTGCGCTGATCTCGCCCGTGCCCCCTTCCCTGAAAACACTGGTGGTGTCCAGCATGGCAGGCATGCACGTGTCTGGGTCCCCCCCGTGGGGCTCTTCCCTTCCTCAGACTTTAGCCAGAAAGGCCAAAGACAACCCTCAGCCCCATCTGACCCTCACAGGGCCCTTGACTGGGTTGGGGTAGGTTAACTTTGCCAGTGACACTGGGGCCAGAGTGGACACTATGACTCCTGACAACCTCCTGGGCTCCTGGCAGCCTCCCCTGTACTTCAGGGTGGCAAGAATGAGCTGCGACAATGAGCTTTTCAGATGTCTTAAAGCTGGGCAGTAAGAGGCAGGGCTCAAGGGCATTCAGGTGCCAGAGGTCAAGGCAAGCAGGATCTGTAACTGGACAGACAGCAGTCAGGACTGCTGATAACAGCCTGCTCAACTCCTAGCCCCTTGCGTTTCTTTCACAAAGCTGGGGTTATTTAACCCCCCCCCAAAAAAAAAAAAAAATCAGGCCTTGCTCTGTCCCAAGCCTCATCCAGAGTTCAGGGGAATTGGCTTTAAGAGGATCCGGTTGCTGGAACCCCACTGGCCTCGTGCTTCCCTTCTGATCAGTGGGCTTATTCCAGACACCTACCTTCCCTGGCTTACGTGTGGTAACAAGAGCTACCCGCAGAGCCATGCCCTCCACGTGTTACCTTATCCAGGCCCACACAGCCCTACAGGTGGGATGATTTCCTATTTACAAATGAGGAATGAGGATCGGGGAGACCCTTCTGGCCAAGTTCCTAAAGCCGGTGGGGGTAGAGCTGGAAATGAGCGAGACTGTTCCACTCAGAGGCACATGCTCAAGACCACTAGGCCATGTTGCCGCCTCAGCGTCACACCTGGGATCCCCTGCCCCGCTTCAGCACCCGGACTTGTTTTTCACAGTTGAATCCCTGCCTTGGTCCTGACAGTAGCTCAGTTCTTTTAGAACTGAGATCTTGCTGGACTGAGAGCTGCCATGTGACCAGAGCCCTGCCGGCCCCTGGGTCTCCTGAAGCTGACCTCCATCCTGTCCCCCAGGACTCCCCCCTGCTTGTCCCACGACCTCCGACCTCCGACCTCCGCCCTGGCTCAGGCCCTTTTCTTCTCTCACCTGAACCCTTGTACGGCTTCCGAACTGCCCCCTCTGACACCCGGCCTCTGGTCTCACTGCCTCTAAGTCTCCCTCCAGCCACAGCCGGGTGATGTCATCCTGCCACCACCCCCACTCCTGCTTAAACCCCCCACTGGCCAAGAAGCTCATCCAAATTCCTGTGCATGGCATCAGAGCCCTGCCTGCCGGCCTGGCTGACCTCATCGCGCTCTGCGCCCTCGTGCTTTGTTCCAAGGCCAAGTGGATGAAACTGCGTGTCCCTGGATCTTGCTCATAGCTTTCCCTCTGCCAGGAATGCCATCCCCACCCCTCTTCCCCTGCCCCCTGAATCCATTCTCCTGACTAACTCCTCGTCTTTCAAGACTCAACTGAAGCTCACCTTATGAAGCTTTCACAGAACTTCTTCCTCCAAGTTGAAATGACTCCTCCCGTCTCCGTATCTTCACTCGACCCTACAGATATCTTTTCAAGTACCTGGAACACTAGTTTCACTTATTTTGCTTCTCTCTCCCTATCCCCCACTACATCAAGGATTCTGGAAGGCAGGGATGTGCCTGATTTCTCTGTGTGTCCCAGTGTCCAGCACAGGGCCTAGCACAAAGTCTATGGGTATTTACTGATGTAATGGATTGACTGACTGACTGATACCTAAGTGGGTGCCCTGGGCACCCCCTGTCCCCCTCTCCACAGGGAATGACCTCTTCCTGGTGGCTGTGCACGAGCTGGGCCATGCGCTGGGACTGGAGCACTCCAATGACCCCAGCGCCATCATGGCACCCTTCTACCAGTACATGGAGACGCACAACTTCAAGCTGCCTCAGGATGATCTCCAAGGCATCCAGAAGATCTACGGTGTGTGGCAGGGGAGGGGCCACCACTTCCACTGCGGGGCTGGGCTGTGGCTGCCTGCCTGTCAGGGGGGCAGGGGCGGGGAAGGGGGAGCATTGCCATCCATCCGCATAGCTGCTGTGTCTCTGACAGCTGCTAACCTTTAGAGACTTGGGGTGTCATTGCCTAACCAGAGTGAGCAAGGCTACCTCCCCACCCCCCACCATTCCCCCTCGCCCTCACCCTGGGAAACCTAGGGGAGGGTCTGAGCTGCCACTGGGAGGGACGCTCCCTCTTCTCTCCCCCGTTACCCCTCCACACACCTCCTTCTAGCCTCCAGTGGTTCACTCTCAAGGGGTCCCACCTCTAGCCAGGAGACACGCACATCTGCCCAAGTAACAGTGACACAATGTGATGAATATTATAACCAGAGCTTTTTTCTTAAACAAGAAAAAATAAGAAGCTAGGCTGATATCTTGATAAGATGAGAAGCCGGCTACCATGCCTCCCTCCCCATTCTCTGGGCATGCTGGTATGTGAAGTTCTTGTTCTTATCAAGTAGGTGGAGGTGGGAAGACCAGTTTACTGAACAAATGCAAGTCCACACAGCACAGCCCCTCTCCCCACACACACTGCCCAGGCTATGGAGCATGGAGGGGCGCCCTCTGGAGGTCCTGAGGACCTCACAGAGAAGCATGCCCCTCCTGGAGCCCTGGAGGTTAGGCAGGATCTCGGTAAATTAAGCTGTAGAGGACTGGACGGGGTGGAAGTAACTGGGAAGTACTTTGAAAATAGAATGGACAGGCCCAGCCTGTGTGGCTCAGAGGACTGAGGCTTGTCCCATGGACTGAGAGGTCCCGGTTTGATTCCAGGTCAGGGCACATGCCTGGGTTGCAGGCTCAATCCCCAGTAGGGGGCGTGCAGGAGGCAGCCGATTGATGTGTCTCTCTTCCTTCCTCTCTCTCTCTAAAAAAAAAAAAAAAAAGAATGGACAGGATTTGCTGATAGATCGGAGGATGACAACAAGGTTTCTGGCTTTCGTGATTGTGGGGCAATAGGACTGACCAGTCTGTGTGTAGATCAGAGATCTAGGCTGGGATGTTGATTTGGGAATCCTTGGTGTCCAATATAGTAACCACTGGCCACATGTGGCTATTAAATTGAAATTTATATTAATTAGACTTAAATAGAATTAAGTTTCCTGTTCCTCTGTCACACTAACAACTAGTCACTCATTTCAAGTGTTCAGTAGCCATGTGTGGCCAGAGGCTACTGCACTGGACAGTGCAGACAGAGGACATTTCTGTCATCACAGAACATCCTACTGGACAGCTCTAACACTGAGTCTTTACAGCCATGAACCTGGATGAGATCACTTCGGGTGGTGATTCTCAACCCGGCTGCCCACTGGAACCACCTTGGGATTTCAGTAAAAAACACCGATACCAGGCCCTTGCCCCAGAGATTTGGTTTGAACTAGCCTGCGTGCCTTCTGAGCTTCAGGAGTTCTTTTGAGCTCCCCAGGTGGTCCTGTTATGCAGCCCAGGTGGAAAAGCCCTGACCTAGGGACCAAAGGAGAAGGAGAAAGAGAGAGAGAGAGAGAGGAGGACCAGGGCTCCCCCACCTTTCGAGGAGGGTGGATGAGGAAAGGCTACCACTAAAGGAGGCTGAGAAGGAGCAGCCCATGACGTAGGAGGAAAACCGGGAGAGTGCAGGGTTCCAGAAAAGAGAGAAGAGTGTTTTGAGGAAAGTGTTTCTATGATCTTGTTACTCAAAGTGTGGGCCTCAGACAGCAACATAAGCATCACCTTTGAGCTTGAAGACATGCATAATCGCAGGCCCCTCCCAGATCCTCTGAGTCATCATCTGCATTTTACCAAGATCCCTGGAGGATTTATGTGCACGTCAGAGTCTGAGCCAAGTAACCACTGGACATGGCCACATGGAGGCCACTGGAGATTCTGGCCGAGCAGTGCCAGTGGGTGGCAGGCGGAAGCCATATTGGAGCAGGAGGAGAGAGGAAGTGGGGCCAGAGTGCGCAGAGGGGAGCAGAGAGAGAGAGAGTGGAACACTGAGCCTAAGAAGGGACATGTTCTCTCACAACTGGAGAGAAGAAAGAGAAGATACCAGATTTGAGAGTGGACAGAGGAAAGCCCCATTTAATGGTTATTTTTCACCTATTATCTAAAAGTTTGGGGGAGTGAAAAATGGAGGCTGGAGTGAGACAGACTTGTCTCAGAGCTGCCTAGGTGATGATGAGGCCAGGGCAGGGGGAGGCAGAAACTCTAGCCCGTTCCTAAGATGCAGCCCTTCTCTCCAGGACCCCCAGCCGAGCCCCTGGAGCCCACAAGGCCCCTCCCCACGCTCCCCGTCCGCAGGATCCATTCACCGTCTGAGAGGAAGCATGAGCGCCAGCCCAGGCCCCCTCGGCCACCCCTCGGGGACCGGCCATCCACGCCCGGTGCCAAACCCAACATCTGTGATGGCAACTTCAACACAGTGGCCCTCTTCCGGGGCGAGATGTTTGTGTTTAAGGTAGGGCCAGTCGACTGGCACCTTCCAGGGGTCCCCTCCTATTCCTCCACGGAGCCAGAGAAGGCTGCTGCTCTGGGATTCGGCCTGCTATGGGGCCTGGATGGGAGCTGGCCCAATGGCCAGGACACGGGATATCTTCCGGGTGCTGCTGAGTGAATCAAGAGGGAGGGGGCCAGACTGGTGACCCTGCACCTTCCTGGGGTTAATGCTGGGGGAAAGTATTGGAGAGTGGCTTCCGGTCTGTGACTAAGCAAGTCACCTCCCTTCTCTGGACCTCAGTTTCTCCATCTGCAAACTAGGGGAATCATTCCCCTAATGAAGGGCGTATGAAGATCAAACGGTGCATGGTTATGAAGATGGCAGCTTGGAGGAGGGGCTGGCGCAGTGATGGCCCTGTCTGTCTCCAGATCCTGCCAGGGCTGACAGGCTGGTACCGAGGTGTGCCTGACAGAAAGCAACCCAGGCTACATCTCGTCACCTGTCTGGTCCTGTCACGTTAGCCATGGGCTGACCTGAGGCAGCCTGCTTGGTGTGTTGCAGTTGGCGTTCAGGGAAGCAGACTCAGACGGGGTTTGGAAGGCAGGACTTTGATGAGGGAGTGCCTTTGGGATGAGTGTTTGTGGGAGGGAAGCTGACTGGGAAGAAGATAAGCAGCCTTTAGGCCCATTGAAGACTCAGCCACACTCACAGGGGGCTCTGAGGTAGGTTGGCCAGTCAGAATTATCCCATGTTAGACCCAAATGGCTGTAACTTTATACCCGCTGCCTCCTTCAGTCATTGGATAAGGAAGGGTGTAACCTTGGGGGACCTCTCTGAAGCTGAGGCCATCCCTAGAGGCTGACAGCTGAAAACTGCCTGCTGACCACACCCCCAGCCTTGGACACAGAAAGCCCTCCATAAAGGGGGTCTGGGCAGCATGTCTCCACTACACTGGGAGGCTGTGGAGGACTGCCCCACTCGTGTGGTGGGGTTTTCCCAGCAAGTTTGAACACTGAGCAAGAATCAGGTGCCCTGGGTCCGCCCAGTCCTGCCTCTCACCGAGTGACTCTAGGAAAACCACTTAGCCCTTCCTTAAGACTGTGTATCTCAGATCGACAGCAAGAGTTATGAAAGTCAAAATAAGGGTTAAAAACTGGATGTGAAAGTACTTTGTAAAACACCCTTGAAAAACTTTTTCTTGCTTTTGCACCATCTTTTTTGAATCACATTTTCTTCTTTACTCTTGGATCCTCCAACTGAACGGTTCCTAGGCAAGTCTGGGTTTTATTTTCCTCATTTACACATAAGAAAACTGAGGCCCTGGGAGGTTGTAGGCCTTGCCCAGCGTGCCGGCCAGCCAGGGCTGCAGTGAGGCACCAGTCTGAAGAGGAGGCTTTCATCACAACACTGACTATGTGCCCCATACTGCTCTAGGCACTTCGCCTATAATCTCTCATCTGACCCCCCATCACTACCCCCATTTGCAGGTGAGGCTCTTTAAGTACTGTGCCCAACACCGCACAGCTATAAGTGGAGGAACCTGAATTCACACACAGGTCTTGGGGGAGTTCCCAAGGTTTGCTTCCCATGGTCCCTGCCCTGCTAAATGGAGCCAGCCATGTATGAGGAGGGCACTCTGCCCAGGCTCAGTGACCACCTGAGCCTCCCACCAGCCTGGGGAGTGGCTCTGCTGAGGTCAGTGACTCTCTGCTGCCCTCAGGCGGCTACTCCAGGCGCCAGCATCATCCCTTCCGCTCCCCCACACCTCCTCTCCCCGGCAGACCTGTCTGCTCCGGGCAGCAAGAGCCATCAGAAGGCCTACTGGAAGAGAGTTAATGTGCATCCTGTGTGCCTCACGGGGCTTTGAAAGTTAGAAGCAGTAAATGGACAGACTTCAGGAATGGTTTCAAGGCTGGGCCCAGGGGAAAGTATTGGGTTGTTGGACTGAGCACTGGGTTCAGAGGCTATGCCTCTTCCTCTCCCCTCCTTAACCCCCAGGATCGCTGGTTTTGGCGCCTACGCAATAACCGGGTGCAGGAGGGTTACCCCATGCAGATTGAGCAGTTCTGGAAGGGCCTGCCTGCCCGCATAGACGCAGCCTATGAAAGGGCTGATGGAAGATTTGTCTTCTTCAAAGGTAATGTGGCCTGTGCTGCGGGACTTGGGATGGCTCCCTGCCCTCGGGACTCCTTTTTCCTTCTGTGAACTGGGAGAAGTGGGGTGGGAAGAGATGTACTCCAAGGATCCTTCTAGCCCTACCAGACAGACATCTGACAGGACAGATCCCTTCAGGCAGGCAGAGCACAGCCTGGAGAACTCAAGTCAGGGAGTGGCTGTTGAGGATCTGTGTGTGCCCAAGTTGGTGAGGTGACAAGCCTCAGCCACATGAATAGAGGGTTGTATAGGCCATTGCAGACCATCAGTGCTCCATGGAAGGCCACCCTGTCAGCTCCATAAGAGTCCGGAGGGAGGAGGTCACGTCCTGGAGGCTGGAGAGGTCAGGGAAGGAGGAGGGGGCGCAAGCATGTGTCGCCCACCCTGTGCCCTCCCTGAGCCCATCCGGTGCTAGCTGGTTTCACTTCAGTTACCTTGACCTGGGCTAAGGCCCAGGAGGGAAGAGCATGGGCAAAGGAGGAGTGTGGGAAGGTGCCCCACGAGGGAAAGTTGTGAGAAGTGCCCTGGAAAGGCAGTTGGGGGGCGAGGCCCGAGGAGCCTTGTTTGTCAGGCCAGATTTCATACCGATCCATAGGGCAGCGCTGGGAATTCAGCTTCGAGCAGAGGGAGCCCGAGAGCAGGTGCAGACGCCATTTCTGAGAGAGTTGCTGGAGCGGAGCAAAGCGATGTCTGTAAGGCCCACAGCCGGGAGGAGCTGGGAGGCTAGAGCACAGCTAGAGGAGGAGGAAAGAGGGTGAAAGGTGATGCCAAGACTTGGGGACTCTGGGAGGCTGACCGGTGATGAGGGAGGGAGCCCCATGTGGTGGAGTTGAGGAACTTCAGGAAGCTGACTTGGAAATGCCATCGGAGTACCTGGGTCTGGTGCCCCAGTCCACTGAGAGGGTGGCTGTGGGCTACGCCCTGAGTTGGGTGTCGGTGGTAGAAGGTGGGGGGCGGGGGCGGATACAGGGAATACCCAAAGAGGAGAAAGGAGCAAGTCACATGAAAGGGTGAAACATGGAGCCTGGGTGGCAAGGGATGAGTTGTCCAGGACCTGTGACTGGCTTCTGGCCTCTTGCCCTCTACGCTTTGCCTGGGCCAAGAGGCCTCAGTCTCCCACTGAGGGCATCAAGCAGGCCTAGGGCTGCTTCCCCCTCAGGTTCTGACTCTATGAATGACTCCGTCCCCAAAGAAGATGGGCAAGTGGCACTAGCCACCACCTCTGGCATTGAGTGACTGGGGAAGGCTGATCCTGGGCTTCTCTTGGTCACAGGTGACAAGTACTGGGTGTTTAAGGAGGTGACGGTGGAGCCTGGGTACCCCCACAGCCTGGGGGAGCTGGGCAGCTGTCTGCCCCGAGAAGGCATTGACACGGCTCTGCGCTGGGAACCGGTGGGCAAGACCTACTTTTTCAAAGGCGAGCAGTACTGGCGCTACAGCGAGGAGCGGCGAGCCACGGACCCGGGCTACCCCAAGCCCATCACTGTGTGGAAGGGCATCCCACAGGCTCCTCAGGGCGCCTTCATCAGCAAGGAAGGATGTACGTAAGGGCCGGCGGGTGGGAGGGGTCTCAGCAAGGCCCATTGGCACGCTCTCAGGTATCCAGGTTTGAGAAACACCACCTGGGAGCAAAGACAACTGTCTCATATCACCCATGCTCACACAGTAAAATTCTCTTTCTTCAGGGATGATTATCAACTGAGAGATGTTTTCATAGACTGACTTCATTTTTTTTTTTTTTTTATCCTCACCCGAGGACATTTTTCCATTTCTTGTTCAGGTAGAGTGGGAGGGAGAGAGAGGAACAGAGAGAGAGAGAAACATCGATGTGAAAGGAACACATCAAGTGGCTGCCACCCGCACAACCGACCAGGGCCGGGGACAAACTGCAACCGAGGTACGTGCCCTTAGCGGGAACCGAACCTGGGTCTCTCAGGACCGCACGTTGACACTCTAACCGCTGAGCCAAACCGGCCAGGGCCTGACTTCATTTCTTCAAACAGCATTCCTCAGGGGTCCTCAGGTATACTCTAGGAGCTCCTTGTGTTATCACATCTGAAAAGCAGTGATGGATGTGGTGGTTCAAAGGTACTGTTTCACAGGGCTTGAGGGCAGGAAGGTGGAGAGAGAAGCCTTTTTTATTCATGAGATATTTCCCAAGCTCCTCCTGGAGGCCAGACTAGGAGCTTCTCAGGAAGGGGTCTTGCTGGGTCTTGCCAGGCACAGAGTAGGTTTCCATAAATGTTTGTTGAATACATCTCCACTGATATGGTCAAAAGCACAGCCTGGCTGGTTTCACATCCCGTCTCCACCACTTACTACGAGTTTGGGCAAGTCACTTATCTCAGTTTCTGCATCTATAAAACGGGGATAACGATGGTACCTGCCTCACAGGGTGTTGTGAGGATTAAAGAAGATACATTAGGTAGCACACTTACACCGATGCCTAGCACATGGCGCATGCCTAGGTTTTAGCTGCTATCATCAACCTTATCATCTTGTTGGTGCGTTGGTGTAGTTTATGTGGAATGACAGATTCATTCATGCCACAATAATTACTCAGAACTAGGCTGTGTGGGAGGGCTGAGGACAGAGTAGAAAACAAGACTTGCATTACATCCTGGCTAGAGGCCAAAAAATAAGGTAGCAATAAATGCTCTAAGGGAAAGAAAGGCTGTGAGAGAGAGCAAGGCAGAGGGGGCCACCTTAGAGAGGTCACCGGGAAGGACTCGGAGGAGACGTTACTGGTAAGAAAGCCAGCAGCCCCAGGGACAGAGCAGCTATTTGGTGCCTCTCCTGTGTACCTAATGCTTTACACACATGGTCTGGCTTTCTGGGGAGCCTCAGAAACAGATGACATCAAGGACTTTGGCCAATGAACGTCCCAGCCAGGGTGGGGAGGCGGCCAATGAGAGTCTGAGTGCGTTGCTTTGCGGCTATGGGCTAGCTGGCTGCTGCGGCTGTTGCTGGGAGTGGCCCCTCAGCCCTGCTGCCTTCTTTCCTTCCAGTCCCTCCCCAAGAGGGTCCCAGAGACTGCAACCAGTGTTGCAAAGTGATGTGTACCAAGCCAAGGAAAAGGCCATTATAGTTGTGAAGAGGTGGTATCCACTGTCAATAGGAGAAATCTTGCTCTCTGCCTCCCTAGGCTCAGGCCAAGAGCTGGACTGAGGCCCCAGAGCTATGGAGACAGTGTTGTCTAAGCCCTAAGTTGGGGGTGCCTATGGGATGGGCAGTGTGACAGAGCTGTGGCCCCAGGCCGAGAAGAGTCCCATCTGGGAGGCACACACTGAATTTACCAGTTCTACTTCAAGCCCCTCAGTGGCTCCCTAGCACCTTTGAGATAACGGGGCAGGCTGTTCCAGGTCCTGGGTGCCCCTCTCTGCAGCCGTGCAGGTGATACTCCATGACCCAGCCACACTATTTGCAGGATGTAAGCACTTCACTTCCCCACCTCTAAGTGTGCCAACACACTGCTCCAGCCACTTCACAAGCCCACCCCTCCTTCAGACCTCCTCTGGGGCTCCCGCAGGACGGCACAGCACCTTATGCCCTGGCACACTCGCCTGAATAGGTGCAGGGAAGTGTCTGGGAGTGGTGGTGATGCGGGGCCGTGTTTCTGCAGATTACACCTACTTCTACAAGGGCCGGGACTACTGGAAGTTTGACAACCAGAAACTGAGTGTGGAGCCTGGCTACCCACGAAACATCCTGCGTGACTGGATGGGCTGCAACCAGAAGGAGGTGGAACGGCGCAAGGAGCGGCGGCTGCCCCAGGACGACGTGGACATCATGGTGACCATCAATGATGTGCCAGGCTCTGTGAACGCGGTGGCTGTGGTCATCCCCTGCATCCTGTCCCTCTGCATCCTGGTGCTGGTCTACACCATCTTCCAGTTCAAGAACAAGGCAGGCCCTCAGCCTGTCACCTACTATAAGCGGCCAGTCCAGGAGTGGGTGTGAGCAGCCCAGAGCCCTCTCTGTCCACTCAGTCTGGCCAGCCAGGCCCTTCCTCACCAGGGTCTGAGGGGCAGCTCTGGTCACTGCTCACCGGAGCCAGCAGGGCCCTAGGCCAGGGGTTATGTAGTTGAAGTGGTGGGTGCATTGGCCTAGGCTAAATGTGGAGCAGGGAGTAATGGCAGCTGTGCCCCAGGGTGGGTGTCTGGCACCCAGACGCCAGCCTTCTGTCCTGGGTGAACTGCTCCCTACTCGAGGGACTAGGCCAGGCCCCATGCCAGGAGGCCCTGTGGTCACTGCATCCTGTGGTGTCCATGAGACACCACAGCTTGGTTCCTGGCTGGACCCAGCACCTTCTGTGGGAAGCCAGCACTAGCGTTCTCAGTCCCGTCTGGGAGAAGCCACCAGTCCTGGTCCCCTTTGCCAACACCTGCTGGTCAGATGTCCCCCCACCCCACCCCACTGTTCTCCAAGGCTACAGGACCTCTGCTGCCAACACGGTGGGCAACAAGACGGGTTTCCCCTGCTGGCATGCAGCAGATCCCTCAGGAAACCTGCTCCATACATCAGGGTCTCCTCTGAGACCCAGGATTTAGGGTCACATGCTGCAGGCAGGGCTATGGCCCAGCTGGGTCTCACAAGGACCCAGCTGTCACATCTTGAATATTTAAATGTCCTGTCTCTACTGTTTAAAGTCCCATTCTGCAAAGGCTGCTTGAGGCTTTAGGTGAATTAGGTGACTGTCTTGGTGATGAGGCCAGCGTGGCAGGCCCTCCCCTAGGTGATAAGGACCAAGGTGCTGCTAAGGCCACTCTGACGCCGACACCCCAGGAGCCCGGCCCTGCTCATGAGGCCAAAGCCCTGAGGCAAGAGCTGACCCCATTTCTGGAGGCTGATCTGAGTTTGGGATCATCCTCCACTCCCCTCCCTGGCTCTTTCCCCATTCCCTGTCTCCAGCCCCTCTCCAGCCTGTAGCTTGTGGCCCGGGGCTCGGCCTGACTAGTTAGTGAGGCAGAAATGGCTCCAGGCCCACATTCTCATGGTCCTGGGGTAAGGGACTGGGGCAGCCTTGTGAAGTGCTCAGAGCCCATACCCCCGAGGTACCTTGAGACCCACTCAATCTCTCAGCCCAGAACCAGTGTTCATAACTAGCTTGGCCCTTGCTGACCCAGCTCACTAGGCCCACTTTCCTGCATTGCTCTTTGGAAAAGGGCACCCCCAATGGGTAGTGGCGCCAAGCCTAGGGCCCACCCTACAATCTCTGGCAGAAATTCCTAGGGCTCAGCTTGCCTCGCTCCAACCCAGTGGAGGCAGCCCTGCTTGTCACTGACGAGTCCTAGGCCAGACCAATGGGTTCAGTGATACCCGCTGGCTCTCTGCCAAACCCAAGAGGTGGTATCAGTCTTCAGGGTGCTGGCCGGCCTCAGATGCCACCCTGGCTTTCTGAGCCTACATGGACCTTGCCCCCACCCTGTGGCTTCTGGTCTTTGGGTCAGCCTAACCTTTAGGAGACAGGGACTTCTGCTGCCCTAGGAGCTGTCTCAAGCAAAATCTCTTGTCCCAGAGGCACCTTTTTGGGTCCACTGTGTTCCCTGTCATTATCTTTCTGTTTTTCCTCATTTTGGCCAAGGGCGGGCTCCCTGGGGCGGGTGGGGAACAACTGTGGAGATATTAGTGATTCATAGGTTTGTACAGTGTTTTATACTTTGCAAAGCACTTTATTAGCTCATACCCGTCCACTCACATGAAACTAGTATAGGCCCTGGGAGGCCGAGAGTTATTCTCATCATGCCCTCAAATGAAGCACAGAGAGGTGGTTACTTGCCCAGGCCATCCACTGTGGACCCCTCTAGGGTCCAAGATGAGATCAGAAGTGTCTCTTTTATCCATCTTTTCCTGGCCTTCCTTCACTCCTTCCTGGTCCCTCTCCACTCCTCAGGTTGGTGCTCTCACTTCTTGAAAGCTCTAGGCCCCCCAGGCTCCCGGTTGGCTCCTGGTACTACCAAGGTCAGCTGAAAAAGAGCAGGAGATGGAGGCAGGCAGCCCAGGCTACAGACGTGAGGGATGCAAGGCTAGACCCAAAGAGGGCTCAGCCTGGAGGCTTCCAATCTCGGATTCTCCTGCCTTGTGGTCATCTGTTTGTCCATCACCCCAGGACAGAGCAGACCAAGGGGCAAAGCACTGGGGGCCCCAGAGCCCAGCTTCTCCTCGGCCTGGGGAACATCACAGCATTTCAGTGTCAGTCACATTTTAAACTGATCAGCCTTTGTATAATGTTTTTTAAATCATTTATAAATAAAACAAAAATACAGAGTGTGTCATTTCCCTTGGATGTGGGAAAGAGAATCGGGTTCTGAGAGTGGCCTAAGAAGCTTCTGGGAGAAGAGAAACAGGGTACTTCAGGGTGTCCAGGGACTGCCCCATTCACTTCATCTGCCAGCCCAGCAATCAGGTGTCCCCTCTCTCCAAAAGGCTGACTTGGATAGGCCGTGTTACTGGGTTCCCAGGAATACAGCCTGATAATGCCTCACTGGGATCCAGGCTTGAGGAGAAACCTCCCCTAGTACAGGAAGGGTCGCTGCCCCAAGGTCTTCTCTGAAGTCAAGGCACATAGTGCAATGACCAGGAACAAAAGCAAGAGCCCAGTTCTCAGCAATAAGGGACAGATGAGGTGAGGTCAGCAGCCTTAGGGTCTTATCAAGAGCCCTAGTCTGGTCCTGTAAGTCAGTGACAGGGAGGGCTGAACCAGGACCCAGACTGCTGGAGCTGTGTGGTGGGGGTGAGCACGGAGGTCTGAAGTGGTTTGAGTGCAGCGTGGGAAGTAAACAAGTTAGGGGTGGCAGGAGAGGACAGAGGCGAGACGGTGACTCACGGCGCTGCTGCTGCGGCGGCGGCAGCTCTGCTGGGACTTCCTTCCAGTCCCCCAGACCTCCTCGACTCCGAGGACAGGAAGGGGGAGGCGCAAGGTAGGTTAAAAGAGACACTGGGCCGTGGGGGCAGACGACAACGGCCGGACCAGGCGAGGTGAACAGGACAGGCGGTGAGCGGTGACTCGGAGGGCGGAGAGTCAGTACCAGGAGGTGCAGGCGATGAGGAAGCGCACGTCGTCCAGCGGCCCCCAGGGGCCGGGCTCGGGGCCGGGCTGCTCAGGGCCCTCGGGCGCCACGGGCTGGGGCTGGGGCTGGGCCGGGGCCGGCTCCGCGGCGCCCTCACCGCCGCTCAGCAGAGCGCCCATGGTCTGCAGGAGTGGAAGCCCGTCAGGTGTTGGGCCAGCCCTCCTCCACCCCGTCCCCGCCCCCGCCGGCCCTCACCTCGCGCTCCCGGAGCAGCGGTCCGAGGAATCCCAGCCCGAGCGCACCGGCCTCCACGTTCGGCGTTCCGCTCGCCTGCGCAGCTGCACCGGCAGGGGCGGCGCCGTGATGTCACCGCCCTCTCGCTGCCAGAGCGGTGTTTTGCCCCGCCCAACGAGTTCAAGCCCACCCACCAGCAACCAGCCAATCCCGTCTCAACCTCTGGGGGACCCGCCCCGCACGGAGCCAGACTAGTAGAAGGCCCACCCAAGCTCCTAAAGTAGGGTGCTGCTGGGGTTGATGAGGCTGTCCAGGGCGCCAGCCAGCCAGGCCGGCCAGCAACCTCCAACTACACTAGGTCAAGAAGGACAAGGCTGCCCTATAGCCAGGTGCCCCAGAGCCCTCATACAGGGCTATGCCCCAGGGACTACACACCAGCCCAGGGCAGAATTAAAACAGATTCTCATCCTTTGAAGCCTGAAAAATGAGGCTGAAGTTGTGGGGAAAATGTGACTCTCTCAGTGTGGGGTGGGAGACTGGAACTGGAGTGTGTGTGCGCGTGTGCGTGAGCGTGTGCGTGCGCACCCGCGCACCCTACCCCATCTTCCCCCTGGAACAATGGTGGGGGCTGGGTGCAGGCTGAAGCCACCAAACAACACAATCGGAATGGTCAGAAGCAGCTGCCTTTAATTGAGTGGCACAGGACAGCAGAGCTCTCAGCTAGAAGCCAGAGGGCCTGACAGCCAGTCCACCGCAGATTTTTGCAGTAACTAGATTCAGGAGATGGAAACTGGTGAAGAAGGGTTGGGCATCCAGCCGCTTGATACCAATGAGCTCTCTGCCACCTCCCTGACAGCATCCGGGAGAGACTGGGTGGGACCCGTTGAGAAGGAGCCAAAGTTCAGAGTCAGGAGCCAACAATAGCATGGAAGGCGATTCAGGTGAGGCTAGTGAGAGAGGAAGGAGCATTGTCAGTAGGTGCTTCACAGAGCATGGCTCACCCTCCATTCTCAAGGTGCTTGCCACCACCCGTACCCCAGGCCCTTTGTTCCAGCTCAGCCCTGAAGAGCCATACTCAAAGCCCCTTCCAGGTTCCACTGATCCCATGAGTTTCAATCTAATCAGGAACTCTCAAAGCTTAAAAACTAAAAGTAACACCTTCCCTACCCAGGTGGGTCAACTCAATAATTTATTCAAACTGTTGTTGGTATAATATTGGATCCTCAGAGGTCAAGTCCAACAGACATGAGAGAAAGGAATAAGGGGGCTCAGACAGGGGAAGAGACATGCCTAGACCACAAATCCCCCAGTGGCAGGGCTTGGGACAGAACGTTCTTCCTGCAAGTGATAATCACGTGAATGATTACAAAAATGAAGTACACATTTCTAATGGCATGACACCTTTATTTTGTCTCATAGGCACCTCAAATTCAGGGGGTTCAAAACCAAAGGAGACTAATGAGCTTTGTCTCTTCTTTCCAATACCCAGTTCTTTATCTTATTAAACTGCAATGCTGACCAGTGCTGCTGACTACATGACTTTAATGACAATTTCTGAAGTTTCACCATTAAATGCAATATTTGCTATAGTTTTTCAGTAGGTACCACTGATCAGGTTACAGAAATTTCTGTTCTTAGATTGCTAAGACTTTTTTTTGTTTTGTTCTTTAGTTAAATGATTAATGGTGTAAGTACTGTCTTTTTCTTATGAGAGTCTATGTTCTAAAAGGGCAGGGAGAGTATTTTATTCATCACCACATCACTATTGTCTGACACATAACTGATACTCAAAAAAAAAATTGTTGAAAAAATGACAAAACCACAGGTACCACTTTCCTGTTCAGACCCTTTCCACTGCTCTCCAGTGCAGACAGCACAGTCTGTCAGTGTGGCCTCCAAATTGTCCCATCAGAATCACACAGGGACGCTTATTAAAATAACCACAAGAGCCCTGGCCAGTTTGGCTCAGCGGTTAGAGCATCGGCCTGCAGTCCAGAGAGACCCGGGTTTGGTTCCCGCTAAGGGCATGTACCTCGGTTGCAGTTTGTCCCCGGCCCTGGATGGGAGGTGTGGGTGGCAGCCACTCGATGTGTCCCTTTCACGTCGATGTTCCTCTCTCTCTCTCTCTCTCTCTCTCTCTCCCTCCCTCCATCCCTCCGACTCTATCTGAACAAAATATGGAAAAATGTCCCCGGGTGAGGATTAAAAAATAAATAAATAAATAAAAAATAAAATAACCACACGTGGCCCTGGCCAGTTAGGCCCAGTGGTTAGAGTGCTGCCCTGAGGACCGAAGTGTCACGGGTACGATTCCCGGTCAAGGGCACGTACCTGGGTTGCAGATTCAATCCCTGGCCCTGGTTGGGGCCATGCAGGAGGCAACCGATCAATGTGTCTCTCTCACATTGATGTTTCTCTCTCACTCTCTCTACCTCCCTCCCTCCCTTCTACATATCTAAAAACCAATGAAAAAATATACTCAGGTAAGGATTAACAACAACAACGAAAAACAACAAAAGAAAACCACACACAACACACATGATTAAGCCCCACTCCAGACTGAGGGAGTCAGTAGCTAAGGGATGATGCCAACAAACATCCAACACAGACCAAAGGTCAAAATCACAGGTCTATAGTCCAGACTTCCTGACATGGGGAAGGAGGGTTAGGGGGCTGGATTAAAAAGGTGAAGGAATTAAAAAATTCAAATTGGCAATTACAAAATAGTCATGGGAATGTAAAGTACAACATACGGAGTATAGTTAATAATACTGTAATAACTATGTATGATGTCAGGTGGGTAATAAACGCATGGAGGGATCACTTCGTTAAGTTATATAAATGTCTCACCACTATGCTGTATACCTGAAACTAATATAATACTGAATGTCAACTGTAATTGAAAAAAATTAAAAACCTGACAGGGGCATTCAGAGTCCTTAACACTCCAGGAATACTTTACCCCTTCACACCCTCCACACTTCGCCTGTGTTTGTCTGATGTGCTTCCCTATCTATGCATATTCAATTACCTACTCATTCCTTGAAGCTGACTAAATAAACTGTCCTCCATGAAATGTTCCTGGATCCCAGAAAGTGTCTCATCAGAGCTTCCCAAGCCACTTAAGGCACCTTTTATTTCTTCTTTGAAGGTAGCTAAGTTATGTGTGGCCACTACAACTTTTCTTGCCTGCTACACTGTGAGCCCCTCAGAGGCAGAAGTAGCACTAAGTTGCCTGACTATCCCACATGGAGCCTGTCTGTAGGGCTCAATGAACATCAGGCGAATGAATGAATAAGTGAAGAAGGGAGAATGAAAGGAAATACTGCCTGTCGTCAGTAGGAATTCTATTACTCGGCACTTGCTCCACTTTGTGGTTTCTATCTTCATAAACACGCCTGTGTTAGTGGGGTGTGGCATGCCTTGGAAAGGATTCTCAATGGAGAAGAGAGGAGGAGGCTGAATATCCAAAACCTGGTGCTCTTCAAAAGGAAGAAGAGATTCTAGAGCCTCATAACCCTGTATCTCCAGGGTTAGAGCCCAAGAACCCACTTAAAAACAAAAACAAAAACAAAGAAAAACACAAAAATCCAGATGATTGTCATTTTGATGCAATCAAAATAGACTCCCCCAAGTCCATTAGGCACCTGAGGTCTCCTCAGTTCCTAAGAGTAGCCTCCCCTCCTTCCCTCAGTAAACAGCTCTTTTCTGTCCCAGCCGGCTGGTTGGAGACACTGACACACAGGCAGTTACAAACTACAAACCCAGGTGGTAAGTGATAAAATAAGAAAGACCAGAGGGAAACTTTGCCCAGAGAAGGTACACTGAACCAAGTCTTCAAAGACAGGGATGAGCAGATACTCAGGCAATGCGTGCTAGCTGTACCCTGTGACAGCCTGGTGTTGTACAGGTTTGCCCTCACCTACAAGAACCTACTGGTATGAATCCAGTGTGCCCCTCACTATAGGTGGCAGCTCCTTCCCCTACCCTCAAAAGGCAGAAGAGAGGGCCAGATACCTGTCAATGAGTGAATCTCGCATGGTGGTAGCAATGGTGCGAGGCTGGGCTTCGTTGAGCTTGAAGACACTCTCCACCACTGAAAGCTCTGTGCTGGTTGTGTCCAGGCCACAGAAGGCGCACCAGTCGTTCACCACCATCCCAGCAGCGATGACATCGCTGCCTCGGTTCACAGTGCCTGCCTGCCAAGTGATAGCTCAATACAGATCATGGCATCAACAACCAAAGTTTCTCCCATCCCTGATGAGAACTCTCCCCAAACCTCTGCTCCCTGACCTGGAGCCCCAATCCCAAACTGTTTCAGGTAATAACTTCAATAACCCAGGACAAAGGGATCTGCCTCAGCAGGAAACAGAGATCAGGAAACAATATGCTTACCACAAGGGGGACCTGAAGGAGAGAGGACAGCTCATCCTGGTCTTCAATTGACGTCTTGGGATGTACCAGCCCTCCCTGATTGCTGAAGATACAATAGCTTCCTACTAACACCTGGTCAGCCACTGTCTGTCTGAAGACTTCCACCTTGAGCACATCAGCCAGGATTTCTTCTGTCTCCTGTCAGACAAAGGTGTTGTGCTCAGGGCTGAGGGCTTGCAGGTCAAAGAACCCTGGGCCCTCCGTGCCAAGAACCACCCAGGGCTTGATGCCCTAAACCACCCATTCCTCTCCTACATAGCATAGAGAAGCTTCACCCAGAAAAAGGAGGGGATACAGCTTGGAGCAGAGTCAAGGCCAGCTATGGAGCCCCTAACACCCATGAGTGCCCTCAACAACCAGAGGCTGTCTCCACACCACCCTTTAACCCACACTCAAGAGTTCAACTGTCAATCATCTCTCCTGACCCTGGCTGTAGGACTGGATGGGTCAATCTCCCTGATTCTGAAGGATTAATACCCTCCCAGCTTCTTTCTGACAGTGACCACACCATGCTTCTATTATCACTATTCCAGTGAGTGCCTGAAATAGGAGATCACAGATATAAAAATAAACCATAAGAGATACCCCAATTCCTGCCTGATAGGCAAGAACAGTGGCTAACCATTTACTAGGCTAGTCCTATGACTCTTGGGCCAAGCTAGGCTGTCTTACCCTGTCCAGGTCTGGGTGGACCAAGGCCACATAGTCATTGCAGGTGGTGACATTGCCCAGGGCTGAGAACCGCTCCTCTACCCGACGGATCTGCACTGAGTCTGGGAGGCAGTTTCGAATATGTTGCAGCTCCTGGTCGGTAGTGTTGTTGGGCACAAGGAGACCATGCCTGTTCCCTGGAAAGACCCAAATTAGGGGGTGGAACAATGAAGGGCCACGAATACACAAGATGCCTGCTGAGTCCAATTAGCTTTCCCAGGAAAGCTTTAGGCCCAGACTCCAGCCCTCTACCCACTGATCCATATACCACTAAGGGGAACCAGGAGTCCCACTGGGTGGGACAGAGATAGCCTACGAGTCAGTCCCAAAACACCTTACCCACTTTGACATCATTAACCAGGGGTACCAGGACTAGCAGGAAGGGCTCTTGGCATTAGTTGTATATTTTGCTACTTAAAAGATAACACTACACACTTGCCAGTACAGTTAAAACTTTAAAAGAAACATCAATACCAAGTGTTGGCAAAAATATAGAGCAATCATACTTTAGGAGTGTAAATTGGTTAACCACTTCAGATAATCACCTGACATCATCTACTACTACATTGAATAATCACATACCCTATGACCCAGCCATTTTCACCTAGGTATTATATATCCAATAGATACACATACATGTAGTCACTAAAAAATATTAACAGCACTATTTATAATAGACCAAACTGAAAACTACCTGAATGCCCGCTGTCAATAGAATGAATACATTGTGGTAACTTACATAAAATGTACCATACATAAATGAGAACAACAAACTACAATTAGGCTGTGACAACAATGACTAAACCTCTGCCTTTCTCTACATGGACAAAATCCTGTGAACCTTTGAACTCTCAGTTACACTCATCATAAAAAAAAAAACACCAATGGTCAGGCTAAATTCTACCCTCCTTGTTACATCAGAACTTGCTTCAAAAAAGACAGAGACAGAGACAGAACTCATGGACATGAACAATAGTGTGGTGATTTTGGGGGGGGGGGGGTATGGGCGGAGATAGAAGAGGGCATAGAGGGGATAAATGGTAATAAAAAACATAAAATAAAATTTAAATTTGGAAAAGTAAAAAAAAAAAAGAAGAACTTGCTTCAAGTCCCAATATCATGGTTAGGAATAAGAGTGTTTTGCCTTAATAAGAAATACTGCCCTGGCCAGTGTGGCTCAGTTGGTTGGAGCATCATCCTGTAAAACTGAAAGGTCGAGGGTTCGATTTCCAATCAGGGCACATACCCAGGTTTCAGGTTTGATCCCCGGCCTGGTTGGGGCTCGTGCAGGAAGCAACAGATTGATGTTTTTCTTTCTTTCTCTCTCTCCCCCTGCCTCTCCCTCAAAAAAAGAAAGAAAGAAAAATACTCAGAGGCTAGCATCATCAGGATTACGGTAAAAAGTAAAGGAACAAACTCTTATATGAGCAGAACTAGAAATAAGGGGTGGCAGTAAAGGTGGACAGACCCAGCTCAAAGAAAGAACCAATGGCCAGAGTTAACAGCGCTGAGAAGTAGGATGGGGATGCCAGCCACTCAAGAGACATGGGAACTTAAGACTTAAATGAATAACTGAATAGACTGGCTCAGAGTCTTAGCTTGTCATTTTTCCCGAGGCAGAAATAAATACTCAGAAAGAAAAAGCAACTTGCCCAGGATCAGTAGCAGGGGAGAGGACATTCTAATCTTGGCCTCATAAGAGGAGTGGCACCTGGTGAGTCACTTTGTTCTATTCTTTGAGTCTCAGCTTTCCCAGCAGTCAAATTAGGCCAATAATTCCTACCTCCCAGGGTCTTCGTGAAGAAGGAATGCAAACAAGTGTAAGAGTGAAAGCACTTAATGTTATTTGTTGTTACTATAATCCAGAAGCCTTTGAGAGCTTGTCCTAGACCTGCTGACAGAGACTGAGTTAGGCCCATGCCCCAGAGATTCCCTCATGGATGAAAGCCTGGAAATCCCCAGGTCACCCGGGGTTAAAGGTGCTGGGAGGCACCTGGCTTACCCACACACATACGCCCGATGATGCGGCAGCCGGCAATGGACGCGTGCACCACAGGGATGGTCTCGGCGAGCTCGCCCTCGAACACACTGTAGGAACACGGTCTCGGCGGTCACCGGGCCTGAGCCCTCACTCTGCCGGTGCCCCCGACAACCAGCACCCCTTCCCGCCACCCATCCACACACTGCCAGCGGGCTCCGGGGCTCGCGCCGCACCTGTAGAAGTTCTCTGACCCTCCGATGGCCACCAGACAGTAGGTGTTGGTGAGTTTGGCAAAGCAGCCGATCTCACAGTTGTTCTCGAACGACGCTCGAACCGCCATGAGGCCTGGGGACGGTGGGGCCGGGTGTTTAGGACTGGCGGATCCTCTCCGGCACGGGTCCTGGTCCGAGGACCTTGGCCCTGGTCCCCGGCCTGGGCCCTTCGGGTCCCAACCGCCACCCCACCCCCTCAGGGCCCACTGAGACCCTACCCCTTTCAGATTCTCCGGACGCGAATTCTCCGGACGCCACCCCTCGTGACCCGGGGCGTCCGAACAAAACCTTTCGCTCGCTCTCCACGGGAACTGAGCAGGTAACCGCGATCTCCACTCGCTGCAACAGGCCTTCCTCCGCCCCCAAGTGGGTTTCCGCTTCCGCTCCGCCTGGGGGACTTCCGGGAGAGGCGCGCGCACCCAGCCACGCGTTCGGTCACTCTAGCTTCATCCTCCGGGAGGACTTTATGGTTGCAGTCGGTCAGGTGGTGACTCGGCCTGGCCCCGCCCCCAGCATGCTCACATTCATTCGTTCGTTCATTCATTCGTTCGTTCGTATATTCATTTATTCAGAAACTTTTTAGGAGGTACAATCGACCGAGACCGTGGCTGGTTGGATGCGAGGCATCCGAGAGGAGGAGCCAAGGATGTCTCACAGATGAGTTGATAATGGAGGAATTTACTGAAATAAAGCCTGATGAGGAAGAGCAGGTGTGGGCACGGTGGCATATAGAATTTGAGATATGAGACAGATGTCCAGGCCGGATGTGGAGCCCAGGGGAAAGTGAAGCGCTGGGATTTGGGGCTGAAGCCTGGGATGGATGAGGGCAGTCATGGGTGTGAGATCAGGTGAGAAGTAAGACCAGGACAGAGGCTGGAGAAGGAGGCACGGCCAGCGAAATAGAGGGGGGAGGATGGATGGAGTAGTGCCTTAGGGAGGGTCCAGAGTGGGCAAGGATGTGGGGGCAGACTACCTTCCACTGTGTGCCCCTTGGTCACTCAGCAGCCACTTTCTGTCCACGGGATAAATGATGCGGATCAAAGAAGATACACTCGTGGATGGGATATTTAACCCACGTTTTGTAGGATCTCCAAAATCCACACGAGCTCTCAGAATGTCACAGTGAGAGCAGAGGGTGCTTGGAGTCCCTTTCCTCCCCTCAGCCCTCCTGTGCCATCCACGCTCCTCCAGGGAGCCCTCCATAATTGCCCTAAATGGTGCCCTTCCCTTGCCCGGAAGGCGCAGTTCCATACCTCCGCCTTCTTTGGGATACACCAAGCTGCAGCTGGGTTATAACATGTCTGCTTTTAATGATTGGTATAATGTGTAACACTGTCCCAGGTGGGTGGTGAGCTCAGAAAAAGGACACAACTTGTCAGAGCCTGTGCTTCTAAGAACACTCAGCAAAATGTGTGTGTGTGTGTGTGTGCTCACATGCACTAGCATCAAAGTCTGGGTACCCACATCCTCTTCATCTCAGACCCACTCCCCCAACCCCCTCCCTAGTATCTTTTCACCTGGTTCACGCTACCAAGAATTCCTCTAACCCTCTCCACCTGTCCAAATCCTCCCCATCCATCAAGTCTGGGCTCAAAGGCTGCCTCTAAGAAGTTTTTCTCAACTCTGCACCATTGCTACAACTCTGCCCTTCATTCTATACCATTCTCTTTCATTGGTTTGCCTTTAATTAGATACAGCCTTGTCTTGCTGGCCAGTGGTTTAGGCATTTAATACAGAGACTGTCAGATTCATTTGTCAGCTCTATAGCATGCTCAGCAGGGCTGGGTACACAGCTTAGGTGCAAGAAAATACTAGTTGGTACATGTTCTGTGTGTGTGTGTGTGTGTGTGTGTGTGTGTGTGTTTATGTGCATATTTATGGTCTGTGGATCCTGAGGGGTCTACAGTGTGACTGAATGCATATATTTTGTGCAGCCATTCATTTAGTTAAATGACATTTATTGTGTTTATGGATGTGCAGTTTGTGGGGTGTGAACCCTGTTAGTGTGCTATGTGTATTGTGCAGGCATTTAGGGCATCTCTGTGATGTGTGTATTTTGTGTGCATGGGCACATATGAATTGTTGATACTGTGTTGTGTCTCTGCCAAAACACAATCTTAAGAGTAAGAGACACAGGTTTGGGCCCCTACTCTGCCACTCACTTAGACCTGATTCCAAGCAAGTCATCAAACTCTCTGGGCCTCAGCTTCCACATTTATAAAATAGGGAAGATAATACCTGTGATCCTAGGATGGTTTACTTACTAGAGATCTATCTTGTAGGATGTGAAGATGAAGGATGAGAAGTAACAGGTGTGAAGTGCCCAGCACAGTGGCAAATACATTAACTATGGATTCCATTTCCCCATGTGTGCGTGTGTGTGTAAGCAAGAATCCTGAACCCAGGGAGTGTCTAACCTGGGCTTTTAGACACCCTCTCCTCCCATGCAGCCTCTGCCCAAGCTTCTACCCCAGAGTCTGGGACTTGAGTAAATCTAGAGCCCCAGCAGATGGAGAAGGGACATGTCCCTGCTGAGAGCAAGACTAGGACTCAAAGCGGCTTCGGAGCAGTTTGAACTTGGCCTTGTTGCATTTCGTGATGAGATCCAGTTTGCTGTGGCCCAGGGTCAGCCGTTTCTCATCCCCAAATGGACCATTGCTACTGCCATTACGTTGGCCATCTGTGGAGCCTCCAGGGAGGCCATTCTCAGATCCCTGCCTGGCACCCTGCAACTGATGATACTTGGTGATGAGGTCCAACTTGCTGTGGCCCAGAGTCAGCCGCTTCTCATCCCCAGAGCCCACGCCAGGCTTGCGAGCATGGCTCGGTCCAGGAAGACTGTTGGGCCCAGGCCCCTCGCTCCGGAATGGTCCAAACTTTGTGATGAGGTCCAGCTGGCTGTGGCCCAGGGTCTGTCGTCGCTCATCTGGACCCTGCTTGCCAGCCCTGGCTGAGGATTTTTTTCCAAGGGGCACTCTGGAGCCCCCACCCTTGGGGTACTGTACCAAGAGGTCCAGTTGGCCATGGCTGTGGTTTGGAGGCAACCTCTTATTCTCTGGGATCCCACTGCCAGATTTGGGGAAACCTGACTCAGGGGCACTTCCAGCACCTTGGGCCTGGGGCAGGAGATCCAGCTGGTTGTATCTCTGGTTTGAGGGTAATCTCCTGTCCTCTCGGGACTGCTCACCAGGCCAGAGGGAGTCTGAGTTGGAGGTAATGCCAGAACCAGGGCCTCCTGCTTCTCGGGCTCTGGGGAAGGGGATGAGGAGATCCAGCTGGCCATGGCTCTGACTCAGAGACACCTTCTTCTCCTCTACTGTCTCCAGGGCTGTGCCAGGTACCCAGCGACCTCGTGGGAGGATAGGCTCCTGGCTTCCTGGGAGCCCATTCTCTGGGAGCCTACACAGGGCTGGGGCACCCCAGGAGAAGGGGAGGAGGGAGCGTGGGCGAGTAAGCAGAGGTGACCCCACTGCCAGGGTCAAGGGACTGGTGCTATTGTGGTTGAGGGCAGGGGAGGACTGGGACCATGGGGATGCCCCCATCTTACCCAAGTTGGCCCTGTTGAGCCCTGGTGAGGAGCCATGGTTAGGATCTGACAGCTGGCGTTGTAGGGAGGGTTGGCCACTAGCCTTGCGACAAGCAGGGCCTGGGGAAGAGGACCCCATACCCGTGTCACTGCAGCCACCATCTCCTGGGAGAGCGAGGTAGGAAGAGCGGCCTATGAGAGGAGAGTGCTTGACGCTGCTGACACTGCAGCTGGAGGGCGATGAGGACATGGGGCTTGGGTTGCTGGGCCCGAAGGCCAGGGCCACTGGAGGAGGACGTGGAGCCCTGGGATCCTCACTGCCACAGAAGCCCTCCACAGGCCGTGACTCAGCATAGAGACAGCGGAACTCCCGGTCAAAGTCTTCCACGATGCGGCCCCTCAGGTGAAGCACCATGCTAGTGTGGGCCTGGCTGCAGAGCCAGGTGAAGCTGGAGGCAGAGTGTCGGGGTCAGGAGGCAAAGGGCAGACCCTGGGCCTAGGCAGGAGTCACAACCGCAAGAGCATAGCAAGACCTCCACCCCCGCGAGGGCCCAAGGGAGGGGCAGAGCTCTGTAGCCCAGCTTAGTGGACTTGGGCACATGGTTTCCCATTTCAGGGCCTCAACTTCCCCATCTATAAAAAGGACCAGGGGCAAGGTTTCCTGAAGCCCCTCCAGTTCCGAAGTAAAATAGTTCTTTTCTATGCCAACAGCATTAAAGGAATCCCTCTACGTAGCAACCACCTCTAAGGCCCAGCCTGGGGCATCTCACTCCCCACAGTATCCCCTGAGCCCTGCATGGGGCTTGGCAATGGCAGCTGCTCAGCCCACGGATGAGTGGAAGAAAGCTCAAAGCTGCCACCCCAGGCCCCGCGCCCTCAGTCCCACTCGCTCACCTGTAGCTGCCTGCCACCACCTGCTCACAGTCGATGATGACGAACTTCTCCAGGGCCTGTCCCGTGAAGCGGCGGCCTGCCTTGCTGCAGTATGTGTCCCCACGTGTGCTCCGTACACGCATGTTCTGAGCCAAGGAGGGACGAAGGTTGGGGGTGACCATGAGAAAATGGGACTCAGGCCATGTCTAAATCCCATCTGGTCTCTTACCTTAAATAGCTAAGGGAACCCAGGCCCCCACTCTAATGGACTCCCAAGGCTCACTGACCACCCAAATGACTCTTCTGCCTTCCCTGACACCCCACCCCATCCCCTGGTTACTGCCCTTGCCCCTTGCTGACCGGCAAGTGCCCCCCATTGAGGTCCATCTTGTAGCACATTTCCAGAAAGTGGCTCAGGTTCTCTTGAGCCAGGAGCAGGTAGACAGGGACACCACGCCGACTAGAGGCCTCCATGAGGTCACATAGGAGCTCCATGTCAGTGAACAGGTCCATCACCACGGCCACCACCTGCAGGAGAAAGGGGAAGTTCAGCCTGGCCAGGACCAATGCCTGGGATCCCAGGAACATGTGCTGGACTGAAAAGCAGGAGGCCAGACTCTGCAAGAAAACCTGAACTGAAAGGGCTTTTAGCCATGACCTAGCCCAGTGGTTCTCAGCTTAGACATGGGCGGGTTTGCTGTCTTAAATCCTTAGAAGTTGTATGCAAGTTCGGGGTCTATTTTTCTCTGAGGATAGAATGAGTATCTGTCATCAGACTCTCAGATGTCTGTAGGTCAACTGTACCAGTCTTGAATTCACTCTACATATGGGGAAACTAAGGCCTGGAAGGTAGGGAAGGAGTTAGAAGCAGAACCAGACCCCAATTCCCAGTCTGGATCCTCACACTCTCCCACTAGCTCCAGCCCTAGCTCTGGCCCAGGGACTGTCTGTCTGAGGTTCCCTTCTCAAGGATCAGAGCTGCAAGCCAGGTACTGGGGTCTTCAGTGTCCCTTGCCAGACCTGCCTCAGTTCCCCTATGAAGCTACAGAGGTCTGCATGACATCTTATACCCATGGACTCCCTTACTCCCACCCAATCCAAGTGGGACCAGGTTTTCTCCTCAGTTCAGGTGCTGGGGCTTGTAGCCTCCCTCATATAATGGGCTGTGTCAGAAAAGCCCTGAACAAACCCTGCTGCCACCAAGCTCCCATATATCTGCTTTCATATATCTGTTGTGAGAACCTCCTCTCCCAAGCCAGGCGAGAGGAAGGACGTACAGAGCAAAGCATTTCAGCTCAAGCCACACAGGACTGGATTCAAACCTGCACCCACTACCTCCTAGTGATTTGGCCTTGGGCGAGTTGCTTCACCTCTGGAAGCCTCAACTTCTACATCCCAGAGTTATGGGGAATTAAATGTGAAAATACTCAATGCACAACAGAAGCTCAATAAATGTTCCTTTCTTGCTGCCTCCTTAACAAACAAGGACATTGGGCATTGGGAGGCAGGGAGAGGAAGCCTTCCCAAAGCCATTCAGCCAGTGATGGCCCAGAGCAGAAGCCTGGCTTCTGGCCCAGAGGTGGAGGCTCGAGATGCATGAAGAGGCAAAGCGCTGGGGGTGCCCTAGTACATGGCACAGGACTGACCAGGGGCAGGGGGGAACAAGGACAGGCAGAAAAGATCAAAGGGACAGGGGTGACCACAGCAACCACCTCACTAATAACCCCACTCCCAGTGCCAATTAGGCCTGGCTCTCCCCTGCCCAGGGCAAAGGCAGGCCTGCCAGGGAGGCTCTTAAGGTACCGGTGGGATCCCAGCATCCTGCTGGCTCCTGCTCTCTAACAGGCACCCTTCGGGCTGCTTCCCCAGACAAGGGCACTGAAGCCAACCTACCTTGAACCCTGCCTGGGGTCATATGATTCATTCCCCTCCCTCCTGAGTCAGGGGTCCTCTGCCTCAGGCCCAGCTGGAGATACAGTGCACAAGGGGTGAATGGGGACATGCTCCTGAAGGCAGGGCTGTGCGCGAGTCGGGACCCTTTCCTCTCCTTCCTGAGCACCTCCCAGCCCCTCTCTGGCCTCAGTTTCCTCCTCTGTAAGTCAAAGGGTGGCTCAGATTGAGGTTCTTAGTTTGGGGATCATAAGCCTTTTAGAGAATTTGATGAAGGCCATCCACCCTCTCTCAAGAAAGATGCAGGGGGGATCCCTCCCTGCAATATGCACTGCTTGGCTTGCATCTTCAGAGTCTGTGGAGTCCCTGAGGGCCATCCCATTCTGTGCTATCCACAGCGTCCCGGAGCGCCAAGGGGTTACCAAGGTAAGTAAAATACAGCTAACGCTCTAAGAGCTCGTGCCAGAGGGCAGAAGTGCTAGTCCCAGCGCTGCACCTACGCTGTGGTGGGCTCATTCGTTCAGTCCCTGGGCCTCTGTTTTCACATCTGAAGAGGTGAGGTCCTTACCTTGTGGGCCTGGCTGAAGAGGAAACGCAAAAGGTCTTTGATGTTCTTGGTCTTGTCCCGCTGAAAATGGACCACAGCCTGGGTGGGGCTGAAGCCTGTGGCCTGTGGAATCTCAGGCCAGCCCAAGTCCAGGTCTGGGGGATCTATGTCAGAGGCCATGGGAAAGTAAGTGCCTGAGGTGACTTCAGAGAGCAGGCTGAGGCGGTCGGGCCCTGAGGCCTCCTGTCCCTGGGCCTCGCCAACCTCAGGACCCCCACACACATGGCTGGTCATGTAGTCCACATCCAGGGTGCTCAGGAAGGGCAGTTCCCGCTCCTCCGTGATGACTCGCAGGTAGGCAGCCTCACCCCGCTCCAGGAGGGCGTCGGCCGCCAGCCGGGCTGCCTCGCTGTGCTGCAGCACCAGGGGTGAGCTCTCCCACCACCAGGGCCGCTTCAGTTCCTCCATCCTGCCCCGCAGGGGTCCTGCCATGCCCTGGGCTCCCAGGCCCCCAGACCCCACACCTCCAAACATGCCTGCCCACCAGGCTGCTGTCATCCTCCAGCGGGCTCCATGGCCTGCACCTCGCCGGCTGCAGCAGGAAGACAGCAGCAAACCTGTCTCTTGCCCGCCAGCCCAGTGTGTGGCAGGGCCCCCAACCTGTTGCCACCCTAAGTCAGAGAGCCACGCTCCGCCCCATTGCCCCTGGCTTCTGGAACCTGTTGGGTCAGCCTCACCTGTCAGCCTGCTGTTGGGACTTGCCCTCCCAGGAAAAAGACAGTGGTAGGCCCTTAGCACACTCTTGCTCCCACCCCTACCGCCACCCCAGCATTGCCTGCTCCATCCACACCAGCTCCTAGCAAGTTCCCTTCAAACCCTGACCTTCCAGAGCCCCCTTGGAGGTTGTATTATGTCCCTGCTCAGACACACACACACACACACACACACACACACACACACACACACACGGGTGGATGAATGACTCAGGACACCAAGACAAAGACATGAACACACAAGCACATAGGCTGACTGACATACTGAGAGCTGACAGACACACAGACAGACTACAGGCTGACATGTGCAGATCACACATTGATCATATGTAAATGACCCAAACACAAATTCGGAGACTGGCCATAGCCCAAACGTGCCATGATGGATATTGCAAGCCTCAGCACGCCTGCACAGGCCTTAAACAAGAGCTGAAGGGAGTGTCACACAGGACTGCCAGGGCCATTACCTGTCCGCCTGGGCCCGGCCACTCTCCACCTCAGCTGTGGCACTGTCACCTGTCCCGCCTTTACCCCAGCTCTGAGCCCATCCTCCAAGGGTCTAGAGCAGTGGCTCTCACACCGTGGTTCCCAAGAATAGCCAGGATGTGTTAAAATGCAGATCCCCACCTGAGATTCTGATCCACAAGGTCTGAGTAGGTTTCTGGAGCCTGCCTGCATTTTTTCTTTGTTAATCCTCACCCAAGAATATTTTTCTCTTATCTCACCCAAGGATATCTTTCTATTTATCTTCAGATAGAGGGGGAGGGAGGGAGGGAGAGAGAGAAACATCAACGGGAGAGGGACACATCGACTGGCTGCCTCCAACAGAAGGAACCACAACTGAGGTACGTGCCCTTGACAGAAATCAAACTCGAGACTCATTGGTCCACGGACCGATGCTCTAACCGCTGAGCCAAACCGGCCAGGGCCTGCCTGCCTTTTCTTTTTTAATCCTCACCCAAGGATATCTTTTCCATTTATCTTTAGATACAGTGGAAGGGGTAGGGGGAGAGAGAGAGAAACATTGATGTGAGAGAGACACATCGACTGGTTGCCACCCACACAACCCCAACCGGGGCTGGGGATGAACTGCAACTGGGGTGCATGCCCTTGGCCAGAATCGCACCCGCAACTCTTTGGTCCGCGGGCTGACGCTCTAACCAGAGCCAAACCGGCCAGGGCTGCCTGCCTTTTTTAACAAGTGACATGGTTTATCTGGGGCAGTGGGCTGAGCCTCCCCCCGCCCCCGAGAAATGCCGTTCCAGATGACTGCATTTCCAATGCCACCTCCTCTAGGAAGCTCTTGGCCTGGTGGGGGACCAGACCACAGTCCTCCCTACCTCAGGAGCTGAGTATTAAATGGTTACTGAGAAAGGTTGTATCAGAAAATGTGAACGGGGAGGGGTACAAACACACTGCAAAGTCAGGAAGTAAACAGGGCAGGCAGGTTTCTTATCTCGGCTCCTAGCATGGGCCTAAGTCCCAGAGTCCTCAGGAGTATGGGTGGGAGGCTTTGCCCTTGAGAAGCAGGGCCAGCAGGTGGCAGCTAGTTGGGGAGGCAGGCCAGGCAGAAGGGGCACAACAGTGCAGTGCCAGGTTGAGGGACCACCTTCCGATGGAGGGACAAAGTCCAATAAGGATGGCCAGGAGAACTAACGCCATGTCTCTCAACCCTGTTTACTACTGATAAGAATTGGTTTATCTGGTCTGTGATCATGTCCAGAGCACAGGTTCTTTCATGTCCACAGAGTTCCACACAGGGCCCTACACATGCACAGGGGGGTGGGAGTGAGTAGGGGCCCCCTGCATCAAGCTGGGCCCTGGAATCAAAGGTGAATGGGGCTCTGCTTTGTCTTTAACGAGTCTAGAAGGGGGCTGGGGGCAAGGGATCAGGAGGGAGAGGCACAGGCCAAGACCTGAAAGGCTGGAACACTGCATCCCATCTCGGGACAGGAGCAGAAACGGAGCACCAGGAGCTCAAAGGAGACCCTTCCCTGGGGGTGGGGAGGCCGTGTGAGGGGCAGGAGGTTGAGTAAGCAACACTAGACCGTGGGAAGGTAATGAGCTGTGGGGGTAGCCGAGGTGGCAGGGCCTTCATTATCCCCAGATTTGTTTAAGGGGAGAATCAGGGCTTTATTTAGGTCGAAGTGCTCCCAGGAGGGGAGGCAGCCAGGTTTCTATGTTGCTGAGTTCCTGTGTTTATCCCTCAGCATGCATACATCTACCCGATGGTATATCTTTTTGGCTTTGTCTTTTTAAAAATTATTTTTAATTGTGGTGAAATACATGAAACATTAAGTTTACATTTTAACCATTTACAGTTCAGTGGCATTAAGTCCATTCACATGGCTGCGCAACCATCACCACCATCAATCAGAGCTCTTCATCTTGCAAAATTGAAACTGTACCCATTAATAACTCCCCATTTCTCCTCTCCCCAGACCCTGGCAACCACCACGCTACTTTCTGTCTCCATGAATTTGAGTACTCTGGGTACTTTGTGTAGATGGAATCACACAGTATTTGTTCTTTTGTGACTGGCTTACTTCACTCAGCATCATGTCTTCAAGGTTCATCCATGTGTAGCCTGTGTCAGAATTTCTTTCCTTTCAAGGCTGAATAATATTCCACTGTGTGTATATACCACATTGTTTATTCATTCACCCACTGATGGACACTTGGGTTGTTTCTACCCTTTAACTATTGTGAATAATGTCGCTTGAACATGGGGTATAAATTTGGCTCTGTATTTTTTTTATATTTCCCTCTATGTCCACATTTCTATTATATTCCACTTTTGCAAGTTAAAAGAACACTGAATATTGTCAATTTTGTATGGTTCAACTCAATGTATATGCTTGTACCTATGCAGAACTTCACCTGTGCATGTATGTACATGTACTTACTGTGATGTGTATGCATCTGCTTGGCTGTCTTTAAGTATCTAGCTGCATGTCAGTGTGTGTTTACCTGTATGCACATCTGTGTATATGTACTTGTGTGCATGTCTGGGTGCAGACCTATCTGTGTGCATGAGTGCCTGGGCAGTGTGGTCTTTGACCCTAACTCTGGTGCAAAAGAGCTCATTTGAGAAGGGCAGAGATGGGAAGACTGAGTCAAAGGGATCCCCAACATCCTGATAATGGAATTGTGTAAACCAAATCAAATCCTAGGGCTGCAGGACTAGAGGCCTCTCCCCATAGGCTGAGTGGTTAAGGGCAAAAGGAGGGTAGATAGATGGATCCTGGCCACGGGCCTGGGCCTAGGGGTGGGGGCCCAGGGTGATAGGAACCATACAGATAGCTAAGCCCAGACCCTGGCTGCACTGGCCCCTTAATAACTGTTATTAAGAGGAAGAAAAATATTTTCCTGTCCAAGGAGGTGTGTCAGGCACCTGCAAGGCATCATTCTGCCATCCTGGGGGACATTTAGCCTTGTCTCTAACAAGTCAAGTGGCGCCTGGGCAGGTGACTGTCGTGTGGGGGTGGTGGGAGCAGAGGCTGGGCCACAGCCTTCCAGGTGTAGGCTGCTCTAATGCCAACACTGCCACACACCTTTAATGTGGCACCTTCAGGTCAGGGGAGATAAGGTTCTCGGGGAAAAGCAGCCAGGGCGAGTAGGGGAGCCAGTGTGCCCAACTCCCTTGAATCAAGGCAAAGCAACCTAAGATCTAGAGATACAGGGCCAAGTGGTAAGGATTCCCAGAGGTTGGCTTGAGCTGGGTGTTAGAGGATGAAAAAGACTTCAAGATGCACAGAATAGCAAGCAGGGTGCTCCAAACTGGAGGACTAGAGGGGCGAGGGCATGCCTAGTGAAGGAAGGTGGCAGCGATGGTACAGGGAAAGGACTGTCACAAAGGCCCCTGGGCCACACTCTGAAGAGGGCCTTGCTAGGGTGCTGCCTCTCTTGGTAAAGGTGACGGCACAGAGATTGGCAAGGGTCCTAGAGTGGTGCTGTAGGATAACTTAGGAAGCAGTCCCCCAGGGGGAGAGTAGCCCAAAGCACCAGACTCCCAGAAACAGCCCAGATGGGTGTGGCTCACTGTCCCAAGAACCCAGAGGCCTCTGGGAGGTCACTCTGGCTCGCACTCCAGGAGTTGAACAATCACAACTCTGAATCTGTAAAATGGGACCAACACCACCTCCTTCACCAGTTACTGTGAAGAAGGAAGGGGCTACTCTGTGTCAAGGGACTGACTGAGAGGAGGAGCAGCTCAGTCCCTGCTGATATGGCCATGAAAGGGCAGCGACTCCGTGAAGGCCTGAAGACAAAGGATGCAGTGACCGGGGGTGCATCCTGGCCAGTCTCTGGCCCCTCCTGGGCCCAAGCCTGGCCCTGAAGGGGAACAGGACTTCTGGCCACATCAGTGGAGTGTGGCTCTCATCCCAGTTTAGGACGAATGTCCTCTCTCCACACTGCACACAAAGACGAGTCTTCGCACCTTTCTTGGGCACTTGGGACCCCAAGGAATGAGAAGTTTGGCATTCTATTTCAGAAAGGTGGCTGAGTCTTGATCTAGGCTGTAGACACTATGACAGTGGGGTCTCATCCTTCTCCTCCATCCTTCCCTCCTCCCGTCTCCACCTCATCTCATTCAATGGTGGGTCATCCAGTCACCTCTCCCTCCCCTGCCCTCCCCTCTCCTGCTGTCCATCCAATCCACCTGCATTTATTTATTTATTTATTTATTTATTTATTTATTTATTTATTTATTTATTTAATTTGAGAGAGGGGGGAGAGGGAGAGAAACATCAATTTGTTGTTCCACCCATCTATGCACCCATT